ACGACAACGCGCCCCCTAATGTTGCAAAACTGATTAGCTCTAAAATAAATAGTCTTGTTTGGGAACTTTTGGCGCATTCCCCATACAGCCCGGACCTCGCCCCTTTTGATTACTATTTATTCCGGATCATGAGTAATGAACCTGCGAGAGAACACTTCGATTCGGAAGAAGCAGTCCAAAATTGGCTTTGAAAGTTTTTCGATTTAAAACCAAAATCCTACTACGAAAGAGGAATCCGCAAATTGCCTGTAAAATGGGCAGAAGTCGTCAATAATAATGGAAATTATTTGGAATGAATTGATGCTTTTATGTTGAATAAATTTTAGTTCAAAGTCCGGCAGTTTTCAATTCATCAACCCAATACATCGAACACAAAAATTGAAGAGTTCTTTTGTTTCCTTGTTGATTAAGATTTGAAATTTCGTAAATTCTAAGAATTCTTTAGCTATTGTAATTGTACTTGTCAAGTTGACCGTTTTGACTTATCCAACTCCATCGTTCTCTACTCCATTTATCCTCCCCAAAATCCTTGCTCACACTTGTCCATCTTAGACAATTGAAGTGCATTTTTGGGTTTTGGTTTTTTATATATAAAGAACCGATGACGGACATGCATCAGGAGAATACCCGAGGGGATTTCCCTTTAGAAAAAGAAGGGGACTTTTCTCGAGCAAACGAACAATGACTTTCGCTTTTTCTTTCTCTTCTTTTTTTTTTCAACTATTTTCCCATCAAACAACGCTCTGCGAATGGGTTAGATTAGATTTTATTCGCTTTTTCGAAATGTTTGAGAGAGTTTTTGCAATGATTTACAACTTTTCGAGTGTCATCACTCATTTCTAAGATAGCTGTGTTGGATTGATGATGTTCTTGAGGATTGTGCCTAGATTTTAAGTAGATGATTGCTTTTTTCACTATTTGATTATCTTTAACACTTTGTTTTAGCTATAAACTTGTGAAATCTAGTGAAATCTTAACTAGATTCTTTTCCCGATTCACTATTGAGTTTTCGATTCTAGATCTATTTTGTAAAACTTACCAGTAAAGTTCTTTATAATAGGTTGATGCATAAGTCTTTTCGTTTTTTTCGTACTTCTGTTAAAAAGTAACAAATTCACCAATTAATCTATAGTTTGCTCTATAAAAAAAGTGTTTTTTTTGTTCAATTTGCATCTTTTTAAATGAATTTCGGTTCACTTTCAAGCAAATTCGAGAGTGAAAAACGCCTTTTTCGTAAAAATCTATAAAAAACTCTACGGAAAAATTGGCTGAATGAATTTCTCTGAAATTTTGGCGAAATATCAAACTTTTTTTTCTCTATCTTTTATCTATTGACACGAAGATAGGTTTTCTTTAGCTAAGGTGTCTAAACCGCATCATCGAGTTAGCCCTTTTTGACTACCCGACTTCATACTCTCAAGAAAATCCAGGCATTAAATATTTTTAAACCCGTTTTAATGTTATTTTGCAGAAAAATAATTGGTTTTTCTAATGAAATCAACCGTAGTTTAATTGGTGCATTTGTTGGCTTGAAACGGCAGACGAAAAGGAACAAAAACACTTATGCATCAACCTAATATATTATAATATAATCTAACAATCTATAATACAAAATCTATAATATAAAAACTATCAATCTATTATAACTATAAAACTATAAATATAAAAGCTAAAGTATTAAAAGCCAAATCCTCACTCGCTCGTAGACCAGTCTTCCTATCTTGCATTCTCTAACTCGATACAAATAGATTTTCCCCAAAAAACTAAACAAAGACCACGTGTGTGGCTTTGTTTTTCACTTGGAATCAAAATTTAAAACAATAATATCTTTTTCTAATCAGCAAGATCGTTTGGATCATATTCTTAAATGTAATAGATATTATTCTAGACTTCTTGTTCAAGATCTTGTTGATTAGAAGAATAATATCTATTACATTTAAGAATATTCTACAAACAATCTTGTGGATTAGAAAATGTAATAGATATTATTCTAGACTTCTTGTTCTTGTTTAAGATCTTGTTGACTAGAAAAATAATAACGCATTTTCTCTAATAGTAGTGCACCTCGCCAAGCCGAGTTGATGACTATTTTACGGCTCCCAAGCTTTTGCAGAAGCTCAACACTCAAATCCCCGACTAGATCTCATCGTCAGCTACATTTTCCGATCTCACATCGATAGGTTCTGATAAGCGGTTCTCGAGATTTCGAGCAATTTAGGCGACGCTCAGGGTGCACTACTATTAGAGAAAATACGGTATCTATTACACTTAAGAATATTATCCAAGTGATCTTGCTGACTAGAAAATATAATAGACATTATTCTAGACTTCTTGTTCTTGTTTAAGATCTTGTTGACTAGAAAAATAATACAGCATTTTCTCTAATAGTAGTGCACCTCAGCGAGCTAAGTTGATGCCTATTTTACGGTTGCCACATTTTTGCCAAACAATCTTGATGACTAGAAAATGTAATAGATATTATTCTTCTAGTCAAGATCTTGAACAAGAACAAGAAGTCTAGAATAATATCTATTACATTTTCTAGTTATCAAGATTGTTTGGATAATATTCTTAAATATAATAGATATCCTTCTTCCAAATTTCAAGAGTTGAAGTCATTGCACAGGAAACGCTTCTCGGCTCACATGAGCTTTATTTTTTACGCCACGAATTTCTCACTTTCCCGGAAACACGCCTCAATGGTTATTTCAGTTAAAAAAAAGGATTTCATTTTTGTACTATTGAAATGTTTATAAAGTTTTGAATTTTTGAAATGAAATGAATCTAAATAAAATTTATAAAGTTTTAAATTTAAGCCTTTAACCAATTAGCTTGCCTATTTGACTCTGTTACTATTCATGAGCTTCTAATACAGTCAAACCTCGATTTAACGATTCTCTCAATTTAACGATTTCAATTTTTGGGCCCTTGAAAGCTCTTTACCTTATAAAGACGTTCGATTTAACGATGAAGAATCCCGGTTCCTTGAGAATCGTTAAATCGAGGTTTGACTGTATTTTCAGCTTTTCAGATCTTGTCCTAAACAACTTAAACTGAAATTTTTCTTGAACTTTTAAAAAGAAAACAAAGAACTCTTTGGTATCCAGAAGAATCCGTCCGCCTAACGCGTAATAAATTGAGAAAAATAGGTCTTTGGGGAGAAAGTTGCACACAAAAAGCACCTCTCTATTCCCAAAAAGAATCGATTTTTTTTTCTAAAAAAACTTCCTTATTTTAAAGCCTATCCTAAATTTGTCAAAAAATACTCAAAACTTACAACTTTTTCCAACCTAATGAAGTGACGCAATGAGTGAAAAGAGGGTTTTTTTTGAGGAGAGTTCGTTATAATCCTCAAAGGATTGTGGGTAGACAAAACGGGAGAAAACGAAAGAATTTTTAAGTTGCAAGTTTTAAATTCAATTCTGAGGCTTTAAATTATTAGCATTTTTATGCAAAAGTCCAAAAAAAGAAAACTTGGCTTTGGCGGGAGTCGAACTCGAGGAAAAAGCGGTCGAATAGTTTCGTGTATATGTTACGTCCGAATCTGAGGAGACGTCCATCTCCGATCCGGACGTCCGAATCTGAAGAGATTCATTCTCCTCTGAAACGGACGTCCGACTCAGAGATGGACGTCGAGTCGGACGTTCGTTTCGGAGGAGAATGATCATTCTTCTCGGAATCGGACGTCCGATCTTGAGAACAAATAGTTTAAATGCAAAATCCAATGTTTTGAACAAAACACATGTATTCAGATTCAAATTTTCCTTTTTCTTTCAAATTCAAAAGTAAAATTGATGTGATTGTGCTTTTTCAAGTTCTACTAAAGTGCCGTTAACCTTTATAACAAACATAACATAACAAACATAACATAACAAACAAAAAACAACAACGAAAATTAATAGTTGCATAGACCATTGACATTAACTTCCTTTTTCATTTGTTTTGTTCAAAACATTGGATTTTGCATTTAAACTATTTGTTCTCAAGATCGGACGTCCGATTCCGAGAAGAAGGATATTCTCCTCTGAAACGGACGTCCGACTCAGAGATGGACGTCCGACTCTAAGTCGGACGTCCGTTTCGGAGGAGAATGAATCTCCTCAGATTCGGACGTCCGGATCGGAGATCGGACGTCTCCTCAGATTCGGACGTAACATATATACTCCTTATCCACTACACCACTCAACCATGATGTCCAATGCGACGGAGAAGGCCTTTCTTCTCTCCACACTAAATCTTTCCTCGTTTTTTCTAATTTAGAATCCAAATTTATATTGATTACAAACTTTATCAGATCTAAAGCTTTGGAGCTGAATTTTTCAAAACATTTTTTTCTAAACCCCTTCTAACAGTCTATAAAATGTCGGCTGTTAAATTTGGGCAAAATTTGGGTTTACCACCCGATTCGAGGTGGTAAATAGTTATGGTTCCCTTGTAAGGATCTTTGTGAACAACTTGTAGCTATTCCTGATTTCTTTTGCTTAAATCTGTTCCACGTATGAGTTTGACTCAATTCAAGCTCTTTTTTCTGTTATTTGAGATGAGTTGAACATGAAAGAAATGGACGAAAAGTGATTTGATGAATAATCCAAAAGCGCCGACTCTTTTTTTGGGTCGACTTATTGATGGGTTTTTCCCAAAAAGCTCTCAGATCTCGAAGTTGAACTTTGAGATTTTTGAAGTCTAACGGAGCTAGTAACAATTTTCGACAAAATAATTATTTCACTGCTGTACTTTGTAACTTTGTAGTCTAAAAATCTTGACTTGTAAACCATTGCGTTCAAATCGTTTCGTTTAAATCCAATAGAACTTTTCACTTTTCAAATTTCAAATCCAATAGAACTTATTCATTGTGTTTCTTTACCTATTTCTTTCTTTCTTAATTTCTTTGCCTTTCTTTACTTTTCTTTACTTTTCTTTACCTTTCTTTGCCTTTCTTTATCTTTCTTTACCTTTCTTTTATTTAAATATTATCATTTACAAGCCTTCAGGCAAAAAAAATGTTTTCCTCGATGCGTCGTAAAAGGCGTTTCTCGAGTTCAGCCTCATCGAAACAGAAAGATCAACAAGAAAACAACAATAGTGAAGGATGTTCGTTGAATAAAGACTTTTAGAGGAAATGTTTCCAAAAAGAATCAATACCGTATTTCTTCGAATAGAAGACCGGTTAAAGAGTATCATCGCGTACTCCTGCGTAGCAGCCCTTTTTAAAATTTCTTTTCTGCATAAAAGCTTTCAATCAAATGCTATAGAACTGGAAAATGACTCAAAAATGGGGGTGGGACAAATGCGACCTTTTTTTGCGCACCTGGACATTTGCGCACCTTTTTTTTGGCCGGAAAAAGGCCTTAGGAAAGGCCGTAGAGCTTCGGAAAATATTTCCATATAAGGGAATTGTATGCGTAGATTCCGAATTTCGACAAATCAGACCCTCGCTGACACGTCAAATTTGGGCTAAAAGGCAAAAACTGCGGAAAAGCGTTAAGTTGCGTAGTTTTTGCCCTTTAGCCCAAATTTGACGTGTCAGCAGGGTCTGATTTGTCGAAATTCGGAATCTACGCATACGATTCCCTTTCTATGAAAACATTTTTGAAGCTCTACGACCTTTCCTAAGGCCTTTTCCAGCCAAAAAAAAGGTGCGCAAATGTCCAGGTGCGCAAAAAAAGGTCGCATTTGTCTCACCCCCCTCAAAAATACCACATGAGCTAACAGATTTTTGAGCCATTTTCCAGCTCTATAGCACTTGATTGAAAGCTTTTATGCAGAAAAGAAATTTTAAAAAGGGATGCTACGCAGGAGTACGCGATGATACTCTTTACCCGGTCTTCTATTCGAAGAAATACGGTAATAATCAAGCTGATGTTTATGATATAAATCTGAAAATGAATCGAAAATCGAGTTCACTACAATTTTATCATGTTCCTTTAGCGACAGCGGTGGCATCTCGTGTCCGACGAGTGATTCAAATCGCTTCATGGCACGTTGCACTGTACATTGGAGTGTTGTTGTACATCTTGATGGGTGCGTATGCTTTCTTTTGGTTTGAAGGAGAACACGAGGACCGAACACACGAAATACACAGGGAAATGGTTGAGTTTTGTTCATAAATACTTTGATAAGGCTCAATTTTGATTTTATAAGTTTGTTTGTTTATTAAATTCTTCTATTTTTAGATTGCCTCATTAAAGACTCAATTTGTTCATCAATTAACTACGACAAATAAGGTCATAAAGCACTTTTTCCCAAATATTTAAACTTTTTAGGAAGATGAAATCAATCAGCACCTTCTTTACTTTATTAGAAATCTCTCTAAACAGCACATTCCTTTGGAACACTATCTTATCATGGAAACAGCGAATAAAGTAAGATAAATTCTTGAAAATTCTGGGAGTGGGACAAATGCGACCTTTTTTTGCGCACCCGGACATTTGCGCACCTTTTTTTCCGCACCTTGCCCATTAGCGCACCTTTTTTCGCGTTTTAAAAAAGCTCTAAAAAGCTAATATTAACCAATTTCTATTCCAAAAGTTGTTTTTCTAGGTAATTTTAGGGTGTCGAATCGAAATTTTGACATAGCAGAGCTTGTGGAAACAAACGGACGGAGTTATGCAAAGAGAAAAATCGATAATCGATATATCGACAATTTTCTGTAATTTGATCTAGCCGTTTTGTCTTTCAAATTGGTTCCACAAGCTCTGCTATGTCAAAATTTCGATTCTACGCCCTAAAATTACCTAGAAAAACAACTTTTGGAATAGAAATTGGTTAATATTAGCTTTTAGAGCTTTTTTAAAACGCGAAAAAAGGTGCGCTAATGGGCAAGGTGCGGAAAAAAGGTGCGCAAATGTCCGGGTGCGCAAAAAAAAGGTCGCATTTGTCCCACTCCCAAAATTCTTGAATTCTTGAATTTCTAATTTACAGCCGCTTCCAAAAAGATGGACGTATCAATCGAGTATTCTCTTTTCTTTTACTATTTTGACAACTATTGGTGAGTTTAATGGTTAAGACTTGAGATTTCAACAAATTTAAGTTTAAAACTAAATCCAAATCAAGACTGAAAATCAGCAGTCGAAAAGGTTCAAACCCGGACCGTGTGGGCCGTAGACAAGCGCGCTCCCGACTGCGCCATGGTGACAAAGTTGTTGCCTAAAACAGCTAGCCAGAAAAACCCACCTTCTATTCGTTTAATGGAGAATACAAGGGTGAAACAAACGACGTCTACGGCGCAGTCGGGAGCGCGCTTGTCTACAGCCCACACGGTCAGGGTTTGAATCCCGGGTGTTTCACCCAACTTTGTTTTTTTAAAATTTTGTTTTTAATGGCACAATTACAATATAATCTAAGATTTTCTAAAGAGGTTTTGGCTTTAGTAGTCAAAACACGACCGACAACATGTCAAAATTACAGACAGACGGACAAACAAACAAACAAACGGACAGACAAACAAACAAACAAAAAAACAAACAAACGGACAGACAAACAAATGGCCAGACAGACATTGCCCTTTTATATCTATATTGTGTCCGGTTTGGATTGAAACAATCTCAAGCGCCACAATCAGGTGTTTTTACTGTTACCTTGAGTATTTTTTAGTTTAAAAACAATAAAAGGTTCTGCGTAAGAAGAGAGTAGTCTAGCATTAATGAACACTTATAGACCCGTTAATAAGCACTTATACCTAAAGGTTTTTGCGTATTTTTGGGTGAGAAAGGGCTTGAAATAATCCACTTTACTTTTTTTGTTCTTCAGTTGGCCTATGTGTCGTAAAAATGACGTAGAAAAGTGACAAAAGTTTAGTGAAAAATTTAAATCAGAAGGATGAAAATTTACGAAACAATCCAAATCGCTCACGTTCGTTCTCAACGTTCGCGTTTTCCGTGCAATCTAAGCCCCGCTCCTTTTTGCCAATTGCTGCACACAGACGAACAGAAGGACAGATGCAATTGCTGTACACAGACGAACAGAAGGACAGATGCAATTGCTGCACACAGACGAACAGAAGGACAGATGCAATTGCTGCACAAAGACGAACAGAAGGACAGACGTCTCTTCTGCTTTAAATATAGTAGATTTCAGGGTACGGTGATGTGGTGCCAAAAACGCATAACGGGAAAATTTTCACAATGGTTTTTGGAGCGATCGGCATTCCGCTTTTCTTGATCACAATCGCTGATCTTGGTTCATTCTCAAAAACGGGTATTATGACAATTGTACAGGTGAAAAATGGTTATTCTTAGTTTAATAAAAAATTTATTTAGCTTATGTATAAAAAGGAATTGAAAAAACAAGGCGAAATGAAAATGTTGAGGGAAATTGGGGAGGTGAGTGAGAGGAAATTGAGTAAATAAGTAGAAATCTTTTAGTTAGGGGTTTTATTTTTAAACGTTAGAATCCGAATACGATTTTATAGAAGATTTACAGCATTTCAAGCCAAATTTTGATTCCAGGTGCTGCTTGTGGCTGCAATCTTTTTGATCTTTATCGCTGCCGGATCGGCGATTTTACCTCTCTGGGAGGAGGATCTCTCCTACTTTGATAGTGTTTATTTTTCTTATATGTGAGAGCTTTTTTCTATATTTCAACTTTTCCAATATCATTCTTGACCAGAATGATATTTGTATCACTTATAAGGATTAACATCTCAAGCAGGTAACTTAGTTGTACAGGATGAGGCATTTATCCAGAGTGGCGCACAAATTACCCGCACTCAGTTCTGATCCTCCAGCTTAGCGAAGAGTCAATCAATCGAACTAATTCTTTTTTTATTATCAAATTGAATATTCCCCTTGCAAATGTAGTTTCTGGATTTGAACAGAAAAGTTTCTAAACTTTTGCTAGAGCGCTGCAAAGTTGGGACAAGCGTTTCCTGCGGTGGAACCGCAATTTTCTAGTTTTTGTAACTAGTTTCAATGCCTCAAAATCAAAGAAAACCAGCTTCATTTACTCCTTTTTACTTATTATTTCGAAAATCTAGCTCATTTTTACTAGAAAACAATGAATTCCGGTTAGGGATCAAGGTTTAAAATGTTAATTTGAAGTGAATGCGCCACCCTGTAGTATTGCCTACAAAAAGTTGCCGAAGTTTCTAAACCGTGATCACCACCATGAGTCTTTTGCTATAAAATTAAAACTTTCTACCGACATCGTGATGCATAATAAACACTATTAAGATAACACTGTATGGGCTTTTTTTTTGAACACCCTGTAGGTCTCTACTTTCCTTTCATAACTCACTTTTCAGGAGTCTCACCACAATTGGATTGGGTGACATTGTGCCTAGGTGAGCAATGATTTTTATATTCAATTAAAGCTTTATTCAGGCGGATGGACTTTTTGTTGCCTACCTTGGTCTATCTAACGATTGGACTATGGTTGACAACGGCGCTTGTCGAGCAATTGGCTGATGTCTTCCGTTTAGTCCACTATGCGGGCAGGAAAGTCAAGAATGTGAAAGGGGTAAGATTTGAGGTAAATCATAAAGGGAAACGAAACTGGAGAAACTGGAAAATTTCATAGAAAAACTATTTCAGATATCAGTGTGGCTGGGAGGAAGGCGGCTTTCGATGGGCAGTCTCATCCAAACAGTTTGTCGAAGAGTCGGCATGAGTGATCATCTCATTGGTTTGAGAGTTTAAAGCTTTCCCAGCAAAATCTTCCCCAAGCTATTTAACGATAATTGATGAAATTTTAGGGCAAATCAATTGGGATCGAACACTGGATCAGGCATTGTCCGGCATAATGCCTCCATCAGTGCCAATCTTTCCCTGGCATTTCGCTGATTTCGTTGACCACGATCCTCCACTGATCGATTTGAGTATTGACTTTGATCAAGCGACCGTAAGTGTATGTTTTACGAATTTTTATTGTTAGTTTACTTGCTAAACAACTTTTAACAGCTTGCTTTCTGTCGTAAACCAGGTTTCTTTTCGTACTTTAGTTTAAAATCAATAAATTCACCAATTCAATTGTTTGTTTCATTAGAAAATTCAATTCTTTTTCTGTAAAGTAGGATTAAAACGGGTTTACAATGTTACAATGTCTGGCTTTCTTTTTGGGAGAATGAAGTCGGGTAGTCAAAAAGACGACTCGATGATAGGGTTTAGAAACTTTAGCTAATGGAAACCGATCTTGATGTCGATAGATGAAAGATAAAGCATAAAAAGTTACATAAAAAGTAAGGATTTTCTGCAAAATAACATTAAAACGGATTTAAAATGTCTTATTTCTGGATGTTTTTTGAGCGTAAAGTCGGGTATTCAAAAATCAGTCAAAAGACGGCTCGGTAATGCGCCTTAGACACTTTTAGCTAAGGAAACCTATCTTGGTGTCATTAGATAAAAGATAAAGCATAAAAAGTTACATATATAGCCAAATTTTCGGAGAAATTCATTCAGCCAATCTCTTTGTAGAGGTTTTTATAGATTTTTACGAAATTTGTTTGTAAGTGAACCAAAATTGACTTAAAAAGATAGAAATTAAACAATAAACACTTTTTATTTAGAGGAAACCGTAGGCTAATTGGTTATTAGGTTATTTATTATTTTCTTTATAGATTTATTATTGTGATTTTTCAATGGAAGTATGAAAAGGAACGAAAAGATTTTCTGGAGATAATAGTTTATTAAATTTGTGTAAATGTACAAATTTTATCGAAGGAAAGGCTTTCACACAGTGTTGTAGTCAAAAGCTCAAAAGTTGGAACTAGGACAGATCAAAAACTTGTTCGCCGGGACTCGAACCAGCAACCTTTCGCTTACCGGGCAAATGTGTTAACCATTACACCCCAACGGACTTGACATCCCTTACTCCAGAGGGAGTTAAGTTCCCTCCTCTCTGAACGAGACGGTCCACACGTATCGATTGATAGGCCTGGGGTGCGCTCGAAACTAGGTATGAAGACCTTAGCCAGCATTGCAGAGCCAGTTGAAACCAGGATAGATCAAAAACTTCTGCGCCGCTGGGAGTCGAACCCGCGACCTTTCGCTTACTGGGAAACTGTGCTAACCATTTCACCCCAACGGAGTTGACATCCCTTACTCCAGAGGGAGTTAAGTTCCCTCCTCTCTGGACGAGACGGTTCCACACGTATCGATTGATAGGCCTGGGGTGCTCTCGAAACTAGGTATGAAGACCTTAGCATTGCATTGCATTGCAGAGCCTATCCTACCCTGGTCCCCAGTTGGAACTAGGGCAGATCAAAAACTTCCGCCGCTGGGACTCGAACCACCAACCTTTTGCTTACCGGGTAACGGTGATAACCATTACACCACAACGCACTTGATCTCGTTTACTCCAGCGGGAGTTAACTGAAAGTAAAGCTGATATTTTTGACTCAAATTCTTTGGTGCAAAGTTTCATTACCTTTAGAGATTTGTAAAGAAATTCAAATTTTATGCAAAGCTTAAAAGCTTTCATTTAAAAGATAAATCAAATAAAATAAGTATTAAAAAACAATGAAAAAGCTCACGAAAAAGTTCTAAATTCTCGTTCAGATGGATGGTAATTCGTATTACCCTCCTCATCCAGCGTCAGCTCGAAAATCTCGTCGTACCTCTCAAATGAGTGCTCCAGCTTATAATCCAGTAAATATCACTCAGGTTTATTGCATGTCATTCTTTTAAATCAATTTTAAGCGAAGTACATAAGTCTAAAGTTAATCCAAAAAAAAAGGTTTCAGTTGGACACAAATCGTTTTTCACAACGAAGTGGTAAGTGGTCGTAGCCCAAGCACTAACAAGTTTTTTTTGATAAAGCACAATGGTTTAAAATTTTATCCCTATATGAAAAGGGATATAAAAATGAAAAAAATGAGATTTATAGATGATCACGGACTCCGAGGAAGAGGTCAATCAAGATTTCCTTGATCGAAAAGAGAATCAACGATTTTTGAGAAGATTGAATCGGTGACATGAAAAGTTTTGAATTTTAATCAATTCCAGGACAAAAAACGAGGCTAATCTATAGTTTTTATTTCATTAATTGATAGACTATAGCCCTCTTTAGCAATAAATCAAGTTAAAAATCTTTCTGAGCTACTTTTCAAAAGATTTAGAATCGTTTTTGTTTGGAATTTTCTTTAAACCGTCTTTCATTTATTGCAAATTTGAGTTTTTTTTCTTAAATTACCTCTGCAAAATTGTTTGCTTTATTCATTTTGAAACTAAAATTTATGTCATCTCTTACCGTTACAGATTTTCATTGTTTTGCCTCATTTTTTATTAGTTTCTCTTGATCTCGAATATTTTTCTTGATTCCCTCGGAAAGCTGGTCGATTTCTAATTCAATTTTTGTGTTTTAATAAAACTTTAATTCTGACAATGACTAAATAAAAGTCAAACGCTAGACTTTAGAGCTTCATCTATTTGCGATCGAGCAAAGAATTTTAGAGAAATCCTTTAGAAACTAGACAACAACCCTACAGGGTGTTCAGTATTTACATCTGCTTGGTACACTACTGGACAATGAAATATCATATTTGAAAAAAGATCGTCACTTTCGAGCGTCTGTAACTCCCTTGTCTTTACCGTATTTCTAAATATTAATATTACTATTGTGTAGCCCTTGAAAAGAGCTTTCAGAAAATGTATAACACTAATCGTTTAAACTCAAAGACAACGGAGTTATAGACGCGCGAAAGTGACGATCGTTTTTCAAATATCATATTTCATTGTCCAGTACTGTAGATTAGCTCCAAAGCGCCAAATTCAACCCTAATTCAACCCTATTTAACCCTAGTCTGTGTTTGTCAAAATTGAAGCCAAGAAAGAACTCTGAGAATTTCTTCGCAATACTTGTAAAGTGATCCTTCTCATTGAGCTTTTCATCGACTTTCAATAACACGCCAACACTAGAATTTTGTCTTTTTAACGTAGGAGTGGGAAGGATTCGGAGAAATGGTTGATAGCTTTGTTTCGACATTCGCTAGAATACAGATTTATGAAAGCTAAGCACCAAATCAATAGCTGAAAATGTAGCCGATTTTTAAAAAGATGTTTTAACAATGTTTGGTTATCAAATCTTTCAAACAACCGATTTTTCATGGGCTGAAAAAATGGAAAAACTGATTTAGAAAGGAAAATCTTTGATTTCAGTCTTTTTACATTTGATTTCAGTCATTTATTTATGGTTTTTATTTCTTTAGTTCTCATTGCTCTTGAGCATCTTTTGTATTTCTTTTTTCTAATCCATTTTGATAAAAATATAAATCTGAACATTTATTCACACCCGTACACTGAACGATTATCAAAGTTTGGACACTGGTTAACAAAAAAAACAAAATAAGAATCAAATATCACAGTTTTTCGAATCATTCAATCATATCTAAAGAATCACAATCAAAGATTTCAAGTTTTTTGAGGTCGGCGATGATTTCTTTGCGATTAGGTTGAGATTCAATGTCATAAATGTCGACATAAGGCTCGATTTCTTGATCGAAGCTCTGAAAGAATTGAAATTTACAAGTATACATGTCTATTTTTAATGAATATTTCTCATTTTTGTTCACCGTTATAGAAAGCTGAGTATCCAGCAATTGAGAAACGGGATATTCGGTGGCAGCTGAAGCCGTCAAATCAACAAGCAATAGGGACATTCCCTCTCGAATTCTTACATCCATTTCACCCTAAATTTTGAACAGTTATTTGTGCTTTCTAATCTAAATTTCTAATCAATAAACCTTTGCAAAATTATCGAAATGCACTCGTCCAATCAAATCGAGAGTCCCTTGAGCGATTGAGGTGTACGAGGGAGTGTAGGCGTTTTTCACCTCGTGCAGCACATAGTCCATAATTTGCCTGGAATTGGGACTTAGCTTGCAATTAGCTTTAAACTTTTATGATTTTTGATAGCTTTTCTGCAGTTAGATTCCTCTTGACGTGTGGTTTTTAAGGAACTGGTGCGGAAACGGCGCGGCACTTTCTAAAACGTGGATGCGCTACCGTACCCCGGATAAAGACTCCCCTTTCGCCATTTTTCCATTTGCGTGATGGAATATTTATCGTTTTTATCAGTTTTTGTTGTTTTTTTTTATCATTTTTTGGGGGTGGGACAAATGCGACCTTTTTTTGCGCACCTGGACATTTGCGCACCTTTTTTTTGCTGGAAAAGGCCTTAGGCAAGGCCCTAGAGCTTCGGAAATATTTCCATATAAGGGAATTGTATGCGTAGATTCCGAATTTCGACAAATCAGACCTCGCTGACACGTCAAATTTGGGCTAAAAGGCAAAAACTGCGGAAAAGCGTTAAGTTGCGTAGTTTTTGCCTTTTAGCCCAAATTTGACGTGTCAGCGAGATTTGATTTGTCAAAATTCTGAATCTACGCATACGATTCCCTTCTATGAAAACATTTTTGAAGCTCTACGGCCTTGCCTAAGGCCTTTTCCAGCAAAAAAAAGGTGCGCAAATGTCCAGGTGCGCAAAAAAAGGTCGCATTTGTCCCACCCCCGTTTTTGTTCTTTTTTTATCATTTTTTTATCGTTTTTATGCCGAGTCCCTTAAGTTTTCTTCCCCCTTCTAAAAACTATCCCTCTTTTGTAGCGTGTTTTAAGCCTACCTTCCTCCCCACATCCCCTTCTTATTATATTGTTCCGCCCATGTTTTCTGTTTAAAATTCTAAAATGATTTTGTTTCGTTTCTCTCGTTTCCCTTCTACTCCATTGTCTTCGAATCTCTTTACATGCCGTATAAACTTAGCTTAACAAATTATCTTTCAACTAAAACGCACAAAATCTACCAAATTAAAAAGTGAAAAGAGTTTAAATTTGCACATAAACAAATTTACGCAATTACGATAGACTTTTTAAAGCGCATTAATCACGAGAAACACACTCTAAGCTTAACCATAAAAAGATATTAAAAATTAATGATAATTTAAATATTCCAATAAATACTGTGATATTGAGCTTTTAAACTTTTGCATAAAAATTAGCTTTTCAAGCTTTCCGATAGTCTCAACAACCCACCAATTCACAGCCTCATCCGTAATCACTTTGTTGCTCTCCTTGTGCTTCATTGACTCTTTCACGTTCTTGAAAACACCAGAGGAGATTATGATCAAATATTGGCAAGAAGGATCAAGCTGAAATATGTTGAAGATTCTTTTAAAAAAACGGCTTTACTTCGTAGCGAAACACTCCAGGCTCCGGTACAACATAGCCAATTCCATCTGGAGCGAAATCTTTCTTATGAAAAGTGTCACCGATTCCTCTCGTAGGAACGTAGGCCAAGTTCTAAACTTAATAAATAAATACAAATCATAGATTTGATGTTTTTATCATTAAACTTTTAATTGTAGAGATTTCTCTCACCGCTGTATCAACTCCAGCATCAGAGAGTCTTTTCTGTTCTTCGTTGTTTCCACAATCGTGCACATCATTCAAGAGTTCACATCTGGGTTTATCAGCCTCCATTGAAACCAATAACAATCTAAAATGGTTAGATTTTACATCAAAACTTGAGTTTACCTTGAATTCCCACAATTCAACACAAAGAGTCTCTTCTCGATCATCATCACAACCAACGCAGTACTGCCAGCTTTGAGCTGAACACGAAAGTTTATCGTCTACTCTAGCTCACTCACATCATTGTTTAAGTCCGTTATTCTTGACTGGATTGTTCTATACGTGTCCTGATTTTGCAGATTTGGTTGAAGTCTCTCTAGATCCCAGCTCATGATCTTCATATGTGAGAGTTTCTCTTTGATCTCCTCGTTCACGATTCTTTCCACGTTGTCGAAAGATTCTCGCATCACGTCCAAGATCTAGAGCTTGATCTTTTCATTAAGAAAAGCTATCATATACAAAGCTATTATATTAAATCAAACTAAAAACATACTAGACAAATGTCTCATTTGTCTAGTAAACTGTAGCCAACCTTGTCATTGTTATCCGAAGCTTTTATAAGATGATTCGGCTCCATAAGCATTTCGAAAACCATTCTGTTAGCGGCATATTTTGCAAATCTCGTGGATCCATTATACCCTGTGAAGAGCCCAAAAACACGGAGAGTATCAGGCTCTGATTGAGTGGTTCTAAAAAGTAAAAGAAATTAAATGCTTTGGTAAACTTACTTCACATGAAATGCGATATCTGGTGGCTCTCCATGTGGCTCAGTTCTTCCTCCTTTATAATAATAGATTTGGCTTGAAATACCCATCCCAGCATTTTCGCACTTCTCAGCCGAATCAAGAAGGTCGTCAGCGATCTCTTCCATTTTGCTCCCAAGATGCTGTAAGTGTTAGATTTCAAGGTTTTAAATAATTCTTGGATGTCTAAACTTTTGGGATTAGTTTTTGCCTTAAATTTGGCTGTATTCTTGCTACGAATTCGTGGATTGATTTTGCAAAAACTTCTCATTGTTGCTAGTGTCATAGGCAGAGTTTCCTTTGTCAAGAAATTTCTGAATAAACTCAAAACAATCTTAAAATTCTTGTAAGTATTTTAATAAGACTTTTATCTTAACTAGATTAGCTCACTTGGGAAGATGGCTGCTTGAAGACGATGTTATTCGGATTGTTCTGCTTGTTTGGGTCTTTCGTGTGTGGATCGGACAAAAGCCGCGGCCTCTTCGGCCCCCGATCCGATGTCTTTCGTGAAAACAGCTCTTCTACATAAAAGATGAATAGATTTATTTTGAATAGATGAATAGATTTAAAAAGTCAAAGAAGGAAAAGAGAAAAAAAAACAGTGATGCAATTTATTGACTCAAAAAAAATCACGTGATCGATCAGATGTTTTGACCAAGTGCTTAGTCATACATTTTTAAGTTAAAATTCTATACATTCCACTCCACTAATGTATTTTATTCTTTAGCAAATTTAATTATAATTCTATTTTTAAAAAGTGCAGAATAAGTGCAAAAGTATTTCAGGAATCGAATCAACAAAAGGAAAAGCGGTGAATTGAATTCCGATGAGCTGTTTATTTACCAAAAACGTAAATAAAAACAGAAGAATGATTAGTGATCAGAAATTTTAGATTTAGAATCCAAAAACAGATCAGATCAGTGTAAATCAGTGAAAATTTAGCTATAATTTAAGAATTGAATAGACTTTAAAAGCTTGGACCAAGTCTTGGATCATTCTTGATTCTTTTAGTAAAGAGGGTTATAGATAAACATCAATTCTATCCTGGAAACGACACGAAAGGAGAATCAGATAGAGAAAACCTCCTGAAAAGTAGAATTCAAGGAGATTTAGTTGAAAAAACGGAGGCCGCAACGCAAAAGTGAGCGTTGCGGCGGTTGCCTTTGGCAGGCAGAGGATTGCGCCGGTTTTCTCTTTGCCCTCCGCCTCTTCATAGCTCAACCTCTTCCCTTTTTTTCTATAACTTGCCTTTCTTGTTTGCCAGCTTTTTCACCCCGTTTTCCCTCTTTTTCCCCTTTTCTTTTCCCCTTTCCATTACTTTCACCTATTCCAGCGCCTATTCAAATGCTTATCCACGCTTTCTCTTCACTTTTTTAATCCAATTTTTTTGAATTTTTTTACAAAACTCGAAGATCTCACCTTAATTAAAAAAATCTTTTGAAAATTGATTCAAACATTATTGAAATTTCTTTGAAATTCTTTTCGATAAACAATTCTAATTGTTTGATTTTATTAACGGTTCATGAATTTTCAGTTTCTCATCGGCTTTCAAAAGCGGTAACATTTGGACAGTCAACATCTATGATTCATTCTTTTTCGAGCAAGTGCTTTGTTTAAAACACCGGAAAAATGACGAGCATCATCAAGAATCAACTCGTCAAACATCTATCAAAGTTTGTGATTTTAAACATTTCAACATTATTGAAGTACCTATTTCTTTGAATCAATTTTGGTCAAACACAAGTATTAGAATTTTGTTTAAGTTTAGTTTAGCAGTAGGTTATAAGTTTTCCATGTGAATAACACAAGTATTAGGTCAAGCACAAGTATTAGAATTTTGTTTAAGTTTAGTTTAGCAGTAGGTTATAAGTTTTCTATGTGAATAACACAAGTATTAGGTCAAACACAAGTATTAGGATTTTGTTTAATTTTAATTTAGCAGTAAGTTATAGTTTTTCCATGTGAATAACACAAGTATTAGGTCAAGCACAAGTATTAGAATTTTGTTTAAGTTTAGTTTAGCAGTAGATTATAAGTTTTCCATGTGAATAACACAAGTATTAGGTCAAACACAAGTATTAGGATTTTGTTTAAGTTTAATTTAGCAGTAGGTTATAGGTTTTCCATGTGAATAACTTTTGGAATTTGAAAAATTATCTATTTTCCTTACACTAGTCAAAAAATCAATATGTTTAAAAATTCTCTCATGGGCTGAATGTTAAAATTGAAAAATAAGGGAAAAAAAAAGTGGAATAGGATGATTGACACATTATCCAGGAAAGGAGGAGAAAAAAAAAGAGAAAATTGAATGAAAGGGAAAGAGAAAGGGAACAAGAAAGGGAACAATACTCGAACAAAGCCCATAAAGATACTCGTGAGAGAAGAGGAGACTGACTATGAGAAATACGAAACATTTCTGTACCCAAATGGCTAGACAACTGTTTGTATTTAAAAAATGGAGCTTGTTCTTTGAAAAAAGTTTGTAAAACTTTTGAGATCCTTATTTTGAGTAGTAGACGAAAAAGAGCCTTGCAATTTGAACTCATCCATTTGTTGACAAATATTTGGCCTTTAAAATGATTATGTAAGAAAGGGAAACGAAATTATCAGTGATTTTCCTTGATTTTCATTGAAAATTCTTCAGATTCGCTCGAAATCTCAAACCCGAACAGATCAGTCTCGATGTGCTCAAAGGGAAATCCGAGTTGCGCAATATTGAGCTGAATGAGGTAAAGTTTAAGGCTTTAAAAAGAAATTATGTGCATAATTGAAAGCCAAGATTTTCAGGAAGTGCTCACAGAGGTATTAGAATTACCGATATGGCTGAAGATTAAGAAAGCGAATTGTAATCGAGTGGCGGTGAGGGTACCGTGGACAAATTTGAAATCAAAGCCGGTGGAATTGGTGAGGATTTTGAAGAAAATTCGATTAGATTATTGTAAACAGATTAATAAATGCTTTAAGCAAAGCTGTCTTTTGTTGTCTTTTGTCTTTACCAATTGTCTTTTAGTTTATCGACGAGATCACAGTGAGCATCGTTTTGTCAGCAGATCGTTCTCCATCAACTTCTCGAAAACCTTTTTCGTGAGTATCTTTTCGATGCAATTTAAGTTTTGATATGAATTTTATAAATTCTTATATTTCAGCGACGCTCAAGACACTGGTTCTTATGGATTTGCAGAGAAAATCGTTGAAGGAATGAGCATTTATGTAAATACTCTCGAAATCAACTTTGATTCCGGTGCTTTTGGCGGGTCTTTCATGGTCAGTTTTAAATTTCAAGATAAATTTACATATATTATATATGTTGTGTCCGATTTAGATTCAATCTAAATCGGACGTCCGAAAAAAACGCTTAAGAACATATATTAAGCACGTTTGTTATTGTTCGATCTGTATCGGACGTCCGATATAGACTGTAATCAATAAAAGACCTTTGAAAAATGCAGAAAACTACAGAAAACGCTTAAGAACATATATTAAGCATGTTTATATTATTGTTCAATCTATATAAGATTTAGATTGAATCTAAATCGGACGTCCGATATAGACTGTAATCTAAATCGGACGTCCGCGATAAGTTCAATCTAAATCGGACACAACATATATATTACTATATTTTAAATATACAATCGATTCTCTGTATAACGGAACTCTATATAGCGGAAAACTCTATATAATGCGATTTGGTCCCGGTCAACGCTAAGCTATAAGAAACGGCACTCTATATAATGGAAACATTTTTTTTGTCCCTTTCCATTCCGTTATAGAGAGAGTCGACTGTATTTTCATATATTCTAGTTATCACGTCTTTCTGTGGAGTCACGAACGCCGGGCTGGGCCCTGACAAACGATTTGAGAAAAACCCGGCTTCACTGCCATACAACGCATCGGGTTTTGTGCTATAAACAGGTAAAGATTTTGAATGAATTTCTATATGGCATTTGTCTTCCTTTATTTTACAACGCTAACTTAGGTATCCTGGCAACTTCTGCGAATCGAGGCCTCCGCTCGAACTGAAGAGACTCAGCGACGAAATATCAACGCGCCACTTCGACTCATCACAAGCGGGGGAAAGATTAGGATTTGTCTCAAGAAAAACTCGCAAAGTAAGTTAAAAACTAGAAGAATAGTTAAGACTTGATTTTTAGATGGAAATGTAATTCATGCTAGAATTTCGATGCTTCTTGATGATATTCTCTGGGTGGCCACTCTTCCGCAAATTCGTTCAGCTATTGCCTTTTACAGTCATATGATGAAGCTAGTTAATGCAGCTGAAAAGGCAGCTCCATCAGTGAGTGTAAAGATAAAGATAAAAAAAATAAAAGAAAGAGAAAAAAGAAGAACTGGAAGATTTTTATTCAAGAAAGTCCATTCTTTCGATATTTCTCGAAGAGTTTGGTGATTTTAACTCAAATACATAGTTTTAGCTAATAGATAACGCTTATTCTAATAATTCTATATCATCTTTTTCAGATTCCCGTTCCCGTTCCATCAAAAACACAATTAATCCCATCACCCGAACCCCAGCAAATCCATGCGGCCGCTAACTCAATGTTCCGACGATTAGATCTTGATCAAACTTCCTATCATTTACAAGTGAAAAAGATTGATTTACATTTATGTGACGACAATCTGAATGCTGGAAGTGAGTAGAAAATGACCTTATCATCAAAAATAGTTATTTCAGATTACCCAAAAGATTGGAATATTGAGGCAGGAGCTATGCAAGTGACACTGCACGTTTTACTCATTGATGTTTATCCAAAAACGTTGGCCTCATCAGACAGGTTAGTTAATGAAAGCAACGTAAAATCTAATAACCAATTTTTTAACTTTAAAACTTTAATTTAAAGATCACACTGGGTTCGTTACACATCACCAAACTCAGCCACTTCATGGATGGGGAACAATTTGAAGCACCATTTTGCGAAGATTTGCGAGGAATTAGGTAAGAAAATTGTTTATTTTAGACTTGAAATCTAGTTGTTAGCCACTATTAGAATTGCTTTGCAAAATTTGCGTTGTTTCTTTTCCTCTCAAACTGAAAGGAGTTTTGGTTCTATCTGAGTTGAATGAGAGCTACATTTCAGAGATCCCAAAAGGCAATTTCTTTTAGTACCTAAATAGCACTTGCTTATTAGTGGTAACTTTTTAAAGTATTGATTGGCTGTGATCGACCTGCATTTCTTTTTTAGAGCCACAATAGTAATGATGTGGCTTTGCAAATAGATGCAAGCAATGCTAGTGGTAGAACCAAACTTTCAGACCAATCCAAGGCCAAAGCAAAGCATGGCTTGGCCTGGAAAAAGTCACAAAGGTTCTATTCAGCTTTAAAAACCCTTTTCCAGCTTTTAAGAACTAAAATTTTCACCGATAATTAAGTTCTCTCATTACGGTACACTACAAAAAGAGTTTTAATGAGGCAAATTTTCAGATGAAACAACGCGAATGCGAGTTCAACGATCGTGGCCTGATTTGATGTCATTCAACGTGGTCGTTCGAGTTTATGATATGGTCATTCAATGTGTCTCCGATATGCGCACAAAGAAAGAGGAATTGCAGAATATGTTTACGTCGGATAGGAATTCGAAGGTTTGCTTTAAAAAGCCGATAAACGGATTGATTTTAATTGATCTGACAAGGGAAAGGCAGTCAAGCTGGGCGTTTGACTTGAGATCAAGTCCATCTTATAGAGTCGGCCATGGGGATCTTATAGAGTTTCTCTCTTATAGTGATCTTATAGAGTTTTCCTTTTTCTTATAAAGTTACCTTATAGAGCCGTTTTTAGTTTTTGCAGAGCGCAAGATATCTAAATTTCGGATTCTTTAAGAAGCTGTCACACGCGCCCTGTAGGCTTGCCTCGTTAGTCTAGTGGATAGTCTGCTTGACTAACAAACGTGTTGCATCTCTTGTCCTCAAGTTCGACCCCCCCTCTCGCCAAATCTTTTGGCTTTTTAAAAAAAACTATTTCCCTGTATTTGCAATGAATAATAGTTGAATTCTATGCACAAATATTTGTCGTAGCCGATTATGATTTTCAGCTGATTATGAATGAGTGGGTCTAGGCGCGTCCAATCATCAAGTTTTTGGTATTATTCAACGCAGAATCATTGATAATTATGGTAAATTTTTTAAATTAGAAAGATTGGATAAAAAGAAAAAAAATTACGCGGCTTCAAAGTTTTCTCTCGAACAAACAGTTTTTTTTGCTCTAATTTTTTCTTTTTATCAAATCTTGCTAATTTAAAAAATTTAACATAATTATCAATGGTTCTGCGTTGAATGATACTAAGCACTTGATGGTTGAACGCCGATAGACCCATTCATTCATAATCGGCTACGGGGATCGTGCCGATTTTGAATCAAATGTTGTAGCGCCCGCAATTTTTAACATAAACTCACAAATTTGGTACCAATCGACGCAGAATTTAATTCACTACAAAATGAAATAATATTTTCCTCATAGATTAAAGGGTTGCTCTATTAGAAAGGTTTGCCAAAAAATTTCATTCATAATCGGTTACGACATATTGAAATGATTTTCAGAAATCGTTACCAAGTGATCAATACATTCTGCATGCCGAATTTGCCAATTTCTTTCATCCAATGACCGACCATTTACCAGGTAGACTTTTTTTGAATCTCTAAATATAATATATGACTCGAAATCTAAAAAGAGAACTACTTATTGAGAATTTTCAGAAGTTAAAATAAATCCAAGATACATTTTCAGTCCCGCCACCAGCAACTTTCGCGCAACTTGGCCCATTTTCTCTTCTTTTCGATAAGCGGACTTTACGATGGATTCTTTTTGTCGTTGAAAATCTCCAAAGTGCAATGGTTGGTTTTGCAGTAATAGTTAAGGGTTTAGAAATTAGAAAATGAAAACCAAACCTTTCAAACCTTTCTGTTTAGATCGAAGCCGATGCTCCCTCAATGGAACCGATGCCACACACTGACATTAGGATCGATCTTTTGATGCCAAAAGTAGTTTATTTATAAGTTTATAGAAGTTCTATAGAAGCGAAATATTCTTATAATAAAAGATCAACGAAGAAATTCGATTTCAGGTGATAATACACTTGAGTGATCCAAAATTGGATGCTCGTTTGCCACATCGATTAATCGTTTCTCTTTCTACAGTGACTGCTTGCAATAATCCTTTCGATGTGATTCCAACCGGATTTTCTAGAATTGATACTAGGGTTTGATAAAAGAAAAATAAAATGAATCAATAAGATATTCAGTTAATTGATTATGTCACAAATACGGAGCTTCCTGAAGGGAAAACCGCTTTTCGAGGCGATTTACTGCAGATGAACAATAAGCAGACAGTGTTTGGGATTGCAGGTAGGGGAATTAAGAGTTTAAATTTGTTGATAACACAAGCTACAACCTTATACAACTTACAGAGCTTGTACAGCCTCAGAGCTTATACAGCTTACAGAGCTTGTACAGCTTCAGAGCTTATACAACTTACAGAGCTTGTACAACTTACAGAGCTTGTACAGCTTCAGAGCTTGTACAGCTTCAGAGCTTGTACAGCTTCAGAGCTTGTACAGCTTCAGAGCTTATACAGCTTCAGAGCTTATACAGCTTACAGAGCTTATACAGCTTACAGAGCTTGTACAGCTTCAGAGCTTATACAGCTTACAGAGCTTGTACAAGCTTAAAGCTGTTTTAGAAGGAATGCAATGGTGGCTGAGAACATCTCCTCTTTGGATTGACACCGATCATGGAGAGTTCTCAAGAACAGTCCCTCTAATCTCCGATGTCTGTTTCCATGCCTCAATCACAACAAGAAAAGATCAAGTATGTTAAAAACAAAAGAATTTACATAAAGTCTACACTAAATTCGTTTAGATCAATGTCTATGTTGAGCCACAAACTGAAGTCACAGCGTTAGTGGATCATTTTCAATTCTTGCAGTTGACACGATTAGGAGCTGAGCTTTCAGGTACTAAAATTATAAATATTAAAAAAATTGCAAAGTTTATGAAATCTCTATCAATCTACAAGTTCAGATTTCGCCGATCTCATCAAAGCAGATCAGGGTTTCTTCCAAAAAGGCGCTCCAGTGAATGCTCCGATTATTGTCGTCTTAGTGGCAATTAATGAGGTTAAAATAATTCTAAAAACATAAAACATTGCTAATATTTTTAAAAAATTCTTATTGTTAGGTGAGAGCGAAACTCTTGTTAACCTCTGGTCCTCTTCCCAGCCCATATGAAACGAATCAAGCCTTCCCGCAAAACAATTTTGCTGATGATCTTTCAGGTTTAATATTTATTATAATTGTACTAAAATGGTACTTTGAAATAGTCTCAAAAAAATGGAATGCTGAAAAAATATGGAGATCGGAGACAAAGAGTTATCAAGAATTGGGAAAATGATAGAGAATGAAGATTCAAAGTTATTTTGAAATTAAAAACGTTACTGGAAATCTCTTTGCTTAAACTCTTGCTTGTTCATCAACAGAGACACTTTCCGATTCAGCGTCTTGATCAAAATCGATCTCGGCTTTCACCTCAGTTGAACCAGCCTTGCTCTAAAAACTTTATTCATAAAATTAACCTTGCAAATTCCTTACCTTAGCTGGTGACCAAGTTTGTTGAGCCAAAAACTTTTGTCTCTCAAGCACACGCGATGGAACTTTTCTGATTGGAGTCGGGGTTGTCTCGATCTCTTCCTCTTCTCCTTCTTCCTCATATTCCTGAATTGTTGAACAATTCAACTCGTTTCAACAATTCTAATTCCATTTTGTACCTCTTCTTCCTCTTCCTCTTGAGCTGGAGTGGTTGTTGTTGTTGTGGTAGTTGTAGAGGTGGGCTTGGAGGTGCGCTCTTTGTTCATTTCCTCAGAAGATACCTAAACCAAATACTTAAACCAGTGTGAAAGCTTATCAATTCTCAAATCTGGGTAGGCTAATTTCCGCAATTTTATTTGCGCAACAGGGTCATTTGGTCTGGGTCGTTTGCGCAACTCGCCATAATTCTCTTCTAAGTGGACCAATCTTTATGATTTTAGTTTCATTTTGTTGAACTTATTGAGATCTAGAAAATGAAACTAACATCATAAAGATTGGCTGACTCAGAAGAAAGTTATGGCCAGTTGCGCAAAAAAAAATTTGCGGAAATTAGCCTACCTCTCGATAGTCTCGATCTCCTCAAATCAATTCAATTCTTAACTCACTCCTTTCAAAACCTTTGGCGCAGTGTTAACTCCCAATCTTTTTTGGTGTCTCATGAATGGTGAATTGGCATTTGGACGAGAGGCCAAACGCCAGAATCTGAACAGTTTTTGATTGAAAACTGAATCTTTTAAAACCAACCTTTCCATATTGATCTTTTTCTTTAAAGCCATAGCTGTAGTTGGCTCTTCCTCTTCTTCATCTTCTTCCTCTTCCTCTTCTTTTTCGTTAACATCATTTGTCATTTTCGTAGAAGTACTTGTTCTGAAAGATTGAAATTTCAATATTCCTATTCTTCCTACGTTGTTGTCAAAGTTGTCAAAGTTGTTCCTTTTGTCTCCTCATCTTCATCATCCACTTCTTCATATTCTTCTTCCTCTTCATCGATAGGTTTCTCTTCTTTTTGCTTCTCCATTGATTTCTCTTTTTTCGTTTCTTCAGCTTTCTCAATCATTTTTGTGGTTGTTGTGGGCAAAGTGGTGGTGATCATTGGTGCAGGAGTTGGCTGAAATAACCAGACATAACTTCTCTTTTCTTTAACTTAAATTTGCCTTTCTCACCAACCTTGATGCAACATGGTGGTGGAATTGGTCTAGGAACAGCCTTCGGGCAAACGTCTACAGTGTCGGCTTGCCAATCCCCACGGCAGACAATGTTTGCTTCACTGGTCAAATTGAGAGCTGATCCTCCATTCATTACATGGAATCCATCCTGACTGCAGACCATCGGGTTTTCTAAAGAATTTGAATATAGATTTCATAAATTTGAAATACCTTGCAGTCTAACAGTCAAATAGTCAGCTCCAGTGATGGCTCCATTTTGAAGAGACATGATTTTGTTGAAGGATAAGTCCAAAGTGTGTAGGTTTAGCAAGTGAGCAAAGCTCAATGGGGCAATCTCGTGAATATTGTTGTTAGAAAGAGAAACCTGAATGGAGAATGATGACGAAACTTCAAAATTTTTCCATAAATGGGTTATCGAACATTGGCACTCTAACTTTAAGCTCAAATTTCTTGGTGTTGAGCTGTGCAATTTAAACATTCTTTGTGTCATTGCATGCGTAAAGTCTTTCTTTATCGATTGGTACAAAAATTATTTCAATTGGATAGTCCAACGTCAAGATATTTGAGCTCAAAGTTAAATTGCCAATGGCAAAGGGGGCAGGGCGCGTATAAAAGGTCCGTCGCCCCGCCCCTTTTGCCATTGACACTCTAACTTTAAGCTCAAATTTCTTGGTGTTGAGCTATCCAATTTAAACATTCTTGGTGTCATTGCATGTGCCAAGTCTTTCTCTATTGATTGGTACAAAAACTATTTCAATTGGATAGCCCAACACCAAGATATTTGAGTTCAAAGTTAGATTGCCAATGGCAAAGGGGGCGGAGCTTGTCTCAAATGTCCGATAAACCTAGATTTTTGTCCTAGATTTGTCCAATAACCCAAAATCGAAATCTAGAAGCTAATAAGCTTACTTACAATCTTAATATTACAAAGAAATCACCTGTCGAAGGAATGGAGTACCCTGGAACATATTAGCGTTGACAGTAGTAAGGCAATTGTTTGGAAGCCATAAAAGAAGAAGTGGTGTGCCAGCAAAAGCTCCTGGAGCAATATTCTGGATAGCGTTAGCTTCAAGATTCATATGTTGAAGAGATTCAAGTCCATTAAACGTTTCATCTGTGATCTCCTCTAAGTGGTTGAAAGAAAGATCGATTACCTAAGCCAATGTTCGTTTTGATAAAGTTTTTTGATATACTTGAGCCTGTTTAAATTGAGACATCATTTTGGGTTCAAGTTGTTTCAAATTGTTTTCAGCTAAATAGAGATATCGGAGTGAGGTGGCGTTGACCACCGCGTCTTTAGCGATCGAAGAGATGTTGTTTCCAGTAAGCGTCAACATTGACAACGATTTCATATTGATTAAAGCATTCGACGGAATCTTGTTGATCTAAATCATTAAATAATTAAATAAAAGACCAAAACCCTCATTACTTTATTGTATTTGAGATGAAGACCAATCAAATTGCTCATTCCTTCAACGGTTTTCATTGGGAATTCGTTGATACAATTGCTATCCAAGATCATATTTTGTAGAGAAGAACGAATCCCATCAAAAGCTTTTCCATCCATTTTGCAAATCTATAAGCAATGATTTAACAATTGATTATGATTTAACAATTGATTCACCTCATTGCAAGCCAAATTCACATCAATGAGTCCAGTCATATTTTGAAAAACCGAAGTGGTTAGGTTTCCAATTTTGTTGCATCTTAAGTTGAGTACTTGAAGGACTCGGAGTCCGGAAAGAGCTTGAGTTGGTACCTAAAAGGGTTTAAATCTTAAAAACAATTCATTTTTTCTTGTTCTCAAAGTTTTCATCAATCTATTCCCCACTAATCTCTTTATGGTACGACCTTGACTCCTAGCTTAGATTCACTGATATCGCCTCTCATCCTTTTTAGCTAAAATGGGGTCTGTGGGGCAAAGAAATCGTTAATAACGGTCAGAAGAAGAGAAAAAAGACTGTGAAATGGGAAAGGAAAAGAAAAGAAAAGAAAAGACACTCACTCGCACGAAAAAAACCCACAAAGACGACCCTAATTTCACGAGTTTCCCTTTCGCCTCTCATAGACGTTTCTAGTGGATTTTCTGACCAAACCAGTAAATGGTTTATGGAATTAAGTCGGTTAGGAAGATTTAGTGAACCCCGATAATCTGATCTGATCTAGGATAGCTATTGATTCAAAAAAAATACTTAAAGCAGTCAGATATTCAAAGCTAGACTAGACAAACACTCCGCACCGTCATTATGGGGGTGGGGTACTATTACAATATTTACGGTAGGTGTTCTGTGGATCAATGGCCGAACCGATAGCACATTCCTGATCTGGATTTCTGGATCTGGGTTAAAAGATTTAGTGAACCCCGATAATCTGATCACTCTAGGATAGGTATTGATTCAAAAAAAATACTTAAAGCAATCAGATATTCAAAGTTATTGAAATGATGAATTAAAATCAAAACCCAAAACATTTAGGAAAGCCTAGAGAATAGTTTTTTTCAATAGTTTTTCTAACTTTTAAACTAAAATGAAAACCCAAAACATTCAGAAAAGCCTAGAGAATAGCTTTTTTTTAAACTTTTAGCTGAAAACCCACAGCAGTCAGTCGATTTTGTTGAATAGATAACTCGACAAGAACATTCTCCAATCCTCTAAACGCATCTTTATGGAAATCCATGATCTTGTTCTTGTCCAAAACGAGTTTCTTGATTCGCAAGTTGCGGAAAGCGTTTGAACCAATCTAGATTTGCATTTGAAAGCTCTACAACTTTGGCTTACCTCAACAATGTTTGCATTCTCCAAGATCAGCTCTCTGATATCAACATGTGTGGTTTTAAGTTTCTCAATGAAAGTCGGTCCTTGAGCACCAGAACAGTGAATGATCGCTCCATCAAGAGCATCACTGCATGAACAAGTTGTTTGGTTCTAAACATTTACATTTTAAACAAAATCTTAGCTATTTACCTGGAAGAAAGTTGGACAATAGGCAAGTGCTGGCACCGCTAGGAAGACTTGTAAAAGGAGTAAGACCAAAATCATTTTCTCCTGAAATCAATCTTGTAAAAAACGTAGATAGACTAGATTTGAGCCGTTAAAAGCCTTTCACGGATTTGTGAAGGATATTGGGGTGAAATTGGGAGTTGGAGGAGGGGCGGAGATCCCGTTAGATTGGAGGTGAATTTATGGGGAAAAGAAGGGGAAAGAGACGGGGAAAGAGACGGGTCAAGGAGATTCGAGTACTTGAAGAAAAGGGAAACTCATCCATTCATTGAAAGGCTTAATTACTTAAGTACAGAGATTAGTGTTGAATGGTTTCTTCACACCTTGACATTAGTTCATGAATGGGTTTATTGAGGAGTGGGCATTGGTAGGATGACTAGAGTTGGGTATTGAAATGTTTACTGTAAACCTACTGCACTGAATCCCTAGTTTTTTAAAATACAGTACCTTTCCCACTTATCTAGCTACAATTCTTTGCCGACCCTACGAACAAGTCCCTGGGATGAATCAAGGAATTCCCGGCAGCTTATAACTGGAGCTCGTATGCTACGCTCCTAGAAAAGTTCCGGAGGCGTTTCTGATCTTTACAGCGGCACCTTTGATCTTTCCGGTAAAACATCCATAGTTTTCCAGCGAGTTGTTTTACCTGAAAGATCCGAGGTGCCGCCGTACAGTTTAGAAAGGCCGCCAAAACTATTCCCGGAGCGTAGCATACGCCATCAGATTAACTCATAGAGACACAACCGACCCGGAGCGTCTTTCCTGGCCTATATGGGAAAGCCATTGGCCAGACGACGAGCGATTACGCAGCAGCACAAAGAACACTTGGATCTCTTTACACTGTAAATCATTCCTCTGAAAATGATTCCTAAATAAGGTGCAAAAATTTGTACTGAGGAGTGGGCATTGGTAGGGTGACTAGAGTTGGGTATTGAAATGTTTACTGTAAACCATCGAGCAAAAGGTTTTCAGGGTAGGGGAAGCGATTGAACAAGCTTGTTTTTTGTAAATCAGTGAATGTAGGTGTTTTTTTCGGTCTTGTGAGTAGTCGGATTGTTTAGTTTCATGATTTCTAGTGTATTTGTATCAAATAGCAATCATTTATCAATAAAACGCCTGAATCACAAATTTTGGATTTGAAACAAAATCTTTGAGCATAAGACAAAAAAGAAAAGTATTGAACAAGTTGGTTGCAAAGTACTAAAGATGAGAGAAGACTAGAGGGAATTAAAAGGAATGATTGAGTTGAATTGGAAAATGATAATGCTAATAGAATCAAAGAAAGATTTGAAGCACAAATAAAAAGCCCGTATTTATTATAAAATTATTTGAATTATTTGGAAATACCATATTTTTGAAGAGCTCGCTTTTTTGAAGAGCTTTAAATTTAATTTTTCATCTTTCGAATTTGTCAACTCTTAAATAACAAAGTGCTCAACTTTTTAAAGACTTTAAACTTAAAGACTTAAAGATTTTAAATAATAGTTATAAGAGCGAGCTCTTCTATTAGAATGTTTATGAAAAGTTATTTGTAATAGTGCTGATAGGCTGGACCGGGAGTGTAGATCCATGGTTGGGAGTGTTCGATGGATCTGAAGATTGTTTTTTTTTTGAATAAGTACTATTGTACAATGTAAAAGTTTAATTTAACTAATCCAATCGTCTTTCTCTAGTGGTACACTAGAAAGGCTGTGTTTACAACAGAAAGTAAACTCCATCTCGTAGACGCGCAGCATTTTGATCAATTAGTAATGAAGAAGTGAAGGAATTGACAAGAATTCGGATTTTGGAGATTTATTATCTTTATTTTTTTAATCTATATACCATAAATACTAGTACCCCACAGCTAGACTACGCAACACTCCGCACCGTCATTAGAATAATGACGGTGCGGAGTGTTGCGTAGTCTAGCTTTCAACAAGTTTTTCTCGACACTGGTTTATGCTACAATGCTCGCTTCGGTATCAAAAAACAGCCCTGAATTTCAGCTATTTTTTGATACTAAAGACGCATTTTTTGAAAGTACGAGTTCTTTGAAAAACAGGCAGGCCCGGGGTGGGGGTAGGTGCTGCAAGCTCTCTAGAGATATGTAGCTCTGGCGCATCGCTAACTACTTCCAAATTTTTGCTAAATGGTAGAAATACGGTAGTATCCAGGTTTTAGAGGAGTCCATTTTTGCAATAACTACCGTAAATACTCTATTAGTAACCCACCCCCATAATGACGGTGCGGAGTGTTGCGTAGTCTAGCTTTGAACTAATTTTTCTCGACACTGGTTTATGCTACAATGCTCGCTTTGGTATCAAAAAATAGCCCTGAATTTCAGCTATTTTTTGATACCAAAACGCATTTTTTGAAAGTACGGGCGCTTTGAAAAAAATGAAATACTAAAAAACTTTTGCGACTACGTGACTGTACGAGGGCGGTGGGGTGCTATTACAGTATTTACATTATGTTATTTATAATTTTATAAAATTCCCTTTTCTCTATTCCCCGATTACAGAGTTTTCCGTGTAAACGAGATCATTTCTCTCGCTTTTCTCTCATTCAATTTTCTCAAACGCATTGACACGACTATTTGGAATTTAGGCCACCATTCGTCTTTCTTTTTCTTCTTTCTTTTCAGTTTTTTTTTATTTCAATCTCTTTCACTTTTTTTTATGCTCATTTAAGTGGGGAAATTTTTTGGTGAAAACGATAAAACAATAAGGTCACTAGGGAAAATCAACGAATCAAAAAGTCAACCAAATCAACCAATCAATTCATTTGACTAATAAACTTGATTCTTGTAAACTAGTAAACAATTTTCATCTAATAGAGAAATTTAAATAGTCAACCTTCGTCTCTCCGTCGTTCCCCCGTAGATCATGTTCATATGAGCTTGCTCAGCTACATAAGCATTCGTTCTTTGAGTTGTACTGTTGCTGCAAGAAGATTCCAATCTGAAAATAAGCAGTAAAGAAAAAAAAATGAAAGCCTTTCAATACCTTTGAATATTTCGATGCTTTGCAATGCAAAGTCCAACAAAAACAGTTACCATCACAAGAGCCACAACAGAGAGACAAATTGTGATGATCGTTGTTGGAGAAGTTAGACGACTCCAAGAACCTTTTCTAAAAGGATTTTGATTTGATTTGAATACATTCTTTATTTCTATCAATAGAAACATTTATAAACAGTTCTAAAACCAACTCTGATCCCTCTAATTCATACGGATGCTCGGTTGAAACCTCTTTGCTCATCACTGGCGCTAATGGGAATTGCTCGATTCTAGACTTTGAATTTACCAAAACGCAAATAATTTCATCACCTCTTATCCTCAACTTTATTCTGATTGATTTCCGGATTATTAGGGATTCTTCTATGTAAAATGATTGATGGTGGGAGAGTTGGAATAGCGATGATTGTTCTATTCATATCATCTCCTGTTACAATCATTGTCTTATTTTCGTGATCAAAAGTGACTCGAGAAGACTGAAATAATGAAAATCATTATATAATATAGAACAACGTCTATGAAACTTCAGAAAAAACAGAACCTTTGACATATTTGGGCCTCGTTTTAAGAACGGTACGGGGAATGGATGAATGATATTTGGATTGTCAGCAATATCGGTGTATCTTCTTGGCAGTTTGGGTACAGGAGTAGTCTGAATGATATAACAATGAGAAATCGTCTTTAGATTACTGTAATTTAGTATAAGCTACAGTAGGACCACAGAAATCAGTTGTAGACTCACTCGAATGGGCTGCTCTGGCTCCTCTGCCCTTTCCGGCTCTTGCTGACTCGCATCAGTGCTATGATATTGATGTGTCTGTGCTGGCAATTCTTCTCTTTGTCCTTCCTCTTCTTTCGGCTCCTCCATCGGTTCATCAATCTCTTCATGAACGTGATTCCTTTGAGTATTTCTTTCCACACCATTCACCAACATTGGTGGCATCATGTTCAAGCTGTTCATTGGCCTGTTAGGGACATTTTCATGCGTTGGAATTGGATGAGCACTGATTGGATGCTTCTAAAACTCGTTTATTAGCTTTCAATCAATTTACCCTACTCGAATCTGATTGTTATTTCTGAAATCGGATCTTGAGCGTTCTTGAACCTCCTCAGCGGGTTCAATGGAAGGATTGGAGGCTGATTTTAGAGAGATCTTTGTCTCTTGCAGGAATGAGCTTTGTTCCTGAAAATTTGATGGATAAAATGGATAGAATATGAAAGAATATCTACCGATTCTTTTGGTTTTTGCGTTGATGAGATAATGATTTTGTGTGGTGCTTTCGGTGTTCCACCACAAACCAAATCTTCTGAATCTGAGACATAAACCCCAACGCCGTCTTGGATCATATGAACTTTCTCAGTGCAAACGAGTGGATTCTCTAAAAGCTTATCAAATCTTTCAAGTTTTCTAATAATTCTATAGATGGATTCTACCATTGTACAATTCTATCTTATAGTTCATCGGTCTGGGAAAACAAAAAAAGGGCGGCAGAGGGATTCGAACCCGCGACCTATCGCTTACTAAGCCAACACTCTACCTAGACAGACTTGAGCTAGACACACTTGTCATCTTGGCCGCCAGCTTTGGATCTTATCCCTTACTCTATGATAATTCCCATTTTTCTTACCTTGCAACAAAACAGTGCCCACTCGTCGATTGAAAGCTGAATAAGGCGTTCGAATGATTTGATTTTTGCTTAAATCAATCAACAATAGACCCAATTGAGATTCAAAGACAGAAACTGGCAATTCAGTGAGAGAATTCTGAAAGAAACTATTGGATTTCATTCTTTAATCTTGCCTACCTGACTTAAATCAATCATCACCAAGCTAGGAATCTCAAAGAAAGCGTTTGGATTAATGCTTGAGATCTAAAATGAAATAAAATTTCAAGAAAAAAAAGCTTTAAGCACTTGATTGTTCTTGAAAGAGATTTGTTGGATGTTTGGTAGAAAGCGAAACTGTCCAGCATTGATTTTCGTTAGTTTGTTATTTGCCAGAATCAGAATGGCAATTGAGCTAAATTTTTAAGGTTTAAAAGAAGATAGCCTTTCCACCTATTAGCAAAAGCATCTTGTTCAATCTCTTCAATTCGATTTGATCCCAAGTAAAGTTGTCTCAATTCTGGCAAATTAGAAAATGAGTTTCTTGAGATTTTCTGAAAGAAAATTATCGAAATATATCTAAAAACAACTTTTTTTTTAACCTCAATATGATTATTCGTCATATCAAGCATTTCCAAGTGATCAAAAGCAGCAAATTGTTGTGAATCAACGTTAATAATTTGATTGTCTGTTAAGTAGAGATATCGTAGATTTGGTACATTGAGAAAAGCCTAAAGGATTTAAATATCATTCACTTTTAAAGCCTTACTTGTGGTCTAATCTCTGAAATGTTATTGCTAGCTAGATTCAAAAGATTGAGCACGGGTAGGTTCATGAAGACCAAGTTATCCAAAGCTGTGATGTGATTGTGATGGATGTGAAGAGCTTGGAGAAGTTTGAAGCCTCGGATAGCTGAGATAAAAATAATCAAGATAAAGAACAAGATAAAGAACAAAATCGACATTCTTCTCAAGACAATCTAACCTACCGGAAGCTGGTACTGTGGTCAAATTATTGTGCCCAAGATTTATCGATTGAACTGAGTTCTTGATGTTTTCAAAAGTCGTCTTGTGAATGGACATGATTCGATTTGAGCCAAGATTCAACTCCATTAGCTAAATATTAGAATTAAGACTTCAATTTTCTCTTTTTTCTCAGATTTGATTGATTATGGAGATTAGATCTTTAGGTGAATGACCTTGGCCTTCAGAAAATCGCCTTACAAACCCTTAGAAGATAATCCAGTGAATAATAAGTGAAGATAAATCCTGGTTTAAGTAAAGATCTCAAAGTAGAAGTTATTTGGTTAAACAATTTAAAGCTAAAGAATATCAAAATCGGTAGGATTTGAGTTGTTAAAGTCTTTGAATTCTTTGAAGTCTTAGAATAATCAAGTTTGGTTACAAAGTTTAGTTTAGCTGATCTCTTTGCAATCCCAGTTCAACTGCAGAATCTAGTTGTTTCATTGCTTCATCTATTCAAATGCTGTCTCACTTTTGGCAAAGCTGGGAGAGCGCTTTCAGCACCCAAATCGACAATAGAGTTATTCGAAAGATCGAGTCTCAAGAGGGTTTTCAACGATTGTAGAGCCGAGACGGGAACTGTGGACAAGTTGTTGTGATGGACAAAGAGATCCTAAAATTGGAATCAATTCTTGGAAACATTATCACAATCTTAAACAATTCGCTAGACAATCCGGTGACTTCGTTTCGAAACCGGCTTTTGACTCAGCAAACCTGCATGATCGGTTTCACGCCGGCGAAAGCATTTTTGTCGAATGACTCAATATTGTTGTGGGATAAATCAAGGCGTTTAATGTAGAGACCATCAAAGAAAGAAGCGGGGATCAAGCGGAGATTTGCTTCTTGCAAGTTGAGGCTTTGAATCAGTCCCAAATGGGCTTGGTTGGCTCGCAGAATCTGTTGAAAGTGATAAATTGAAAGAAGATTATTGAAAAAAAACCTGTACAACGTTGAAAGCATCTGATTTCGAGCAATCAAGGGATACTCCATTGTGAAGATCTTCACAGCGGCAGAGAGTGAGCACAGCTTGTGGACAAGGGTGAACAAGGTGGATAAAAAAGATGAAGATGAAGACCCTCCAATGGGTCATTCTTAATGATAATTAAATGGAAACGTTTGAAATCTTTAGGAAAAATGGATAAGCAGTTTAGAAGCAGTTTAAAAGCTTTTAAATCAGTCTAGAAGAAGTTTAAAAGCTTTTAAATCAGTTTAGAAGCGGTTTAAAAAGCAATAGACATGTTGGACTGATAGCTTTATTATCTGAAAGTCCAACAATAGCCAGCAATCCATGAAAATTGGCAAATAAATGCTTATACGCAAGTTATTATGGTTTAAACTTACAAAATCTTTCTTAAGAACTAACTCTTAAATCCTAAAATTCTTAAAAATAGCTTAAATTTTGTGAATAATTCAAAAACAGATCCGGTATAGTGAAAGAGAGAAACCCGATGATACATGTGAACGAAAAATTGCCTTACGGGGGATGTAAAGGATGAAAGAGAGAGTAGGGATTGTAGGAAAAGAAGACTTTTCTCTCTTGCACAGCCTCTAAACTGGGTCAGTCACTTGTCCTCTCTTTTCCATTCTCTCCTCCAATCACAGAGGATATCCCTTTCTTCTTAGTTTCACTATTTCACTGTCTCCAGGCAGTTTCCTAGTAATTTTTCTTTTATTTACTCTACTGAAAAGTGAATGGAAGAGCTAAAAAAACATAGTTTTGAATGTTGAATAAACATTGTCGCTAGGGAAAAGCTTGAATCAATTTTTGTGTGAACAGGGAAAACAGTATAGAGACAGACAGAGGATCCTATCAAGTTTTAAAGCTCTAGCTAGCTTTTAAACTTAGAAAGTTGAACAGGATTAACAGAAAGTCAAACTTAACAGAAACAGAAAGTCAGAAAGTTTAACAGAAAGTCAAAGAATATAGTTATAGTTGATTTTGAAATATCCTAATGATAGAACCTGGACAGGAAACAATCTTGGCAACAAGATCAGATAAAATTTTACATCTTTTGTTAAGTTTTGAGTAGAATTTAGCCTTAGTATGGTTGAATTAACAAATTTCAAAGCTGTAATGTCAAAGCTGTAGTGTCAAAGCTGTAATATCAAAGCTGCAGTGTCAAAGCTGTAATTTCAAAGCTGTAATGTTAAAGCTGTAATGTCAAAGCTGTAATATCAAAGCTGTAATATCAAAGCTGTAGTGTCAAAGCTGTAGTGTCAAAGCTGTAGTGTCAAAGCTGTAATATCAAAGCTGCAGTGTCAAAGCTGTAATATCAAAGCTGTAGTGTCAAAGCTGTAGTGTCAAAGCTGTAATGTCAAAGCTGTAATGTCAAAGCTGTAATATCAAAGCTGTAATATCAAAGCTGTAGTGTCAAAGCTGTAGTGTCAAAGCTGTAGTGTCAAAGCTGTAATGTCAAAGCTGTAACAAATTTCAATCGTTTTTTTGACCTAGTAGACACCGAGACACGATCTCACAAGAAATTATAAAGATCAAAGTAGAAATATATTTCTTACAACTAACCTAGTAGACATATTCAAAATTTTTAACCAAAAACTCTCATTTATATGTAATATTATAATATTGTAATATTGATATGTACAAAAACACAAAAAAAAACTCAGAAATGAAGCCAACATCAACGAGTTATTGTCCTTGAACGCGCGTGATACGACAATTATGGCGCAATTAATGCGACAATTTGTGGCGCACCCTGTACTATATTTTCTTCAGTCAATTTTTAGAGTAATAGTTGATTTTTGAGTTGAACTTAGTCTTAGAATCAGCAGGATTCAATTTTAGAATTGATTTTCAACTACCCAATAATACCTTGCTTTTTCAAATCTTTTAAACATTTATTTATCATAAATTTTCTAAACTAAATACCCGCTTTGAATTAAAAGACAAGGAATGTACAGTTATTGAATTCAGATTTAGGAAAGTATTGAAAAAAATTGATAGAAATATAGATTATAGAAAATTTTGAGCAATATTCAATCAGTTGAGCAGAAAATGAAAGAAAAATAGAGTGATTTAAGAAAAATAAAACACCGGGAAGGCAAAATAGTTAAAAAAAAGTATAGCACTTAAAGGTAAAAAGTTATGAAAGTATTATCTAAATGGCAGTTTAATGACTAGAAAATGAGGAATTTCGGGTGGATTGACGTTTCATGTGAACATAGAGAAAACCAAGGACGATACAGGTGATCACTGCAACGAGACCGAGGCAGATCGCTGTGTAGATGCGGATGTTTTGATCCTGAAAACCGAATTTGATCTTGTTAAGCTTTAGGATGGCTATCTTTAAGTGAAATTCATCATGTAGATGATGAAAGTCATCTAGAACAGCTGTGCCAAATTGTTCGTACTTTGAACCCAGATAAATGCTCACTTTCTGGCAATAGTTGCAGGTTTTGCTTCTAAGCTTGAAGGCTTTCGTTTAGAACACTTCAAAGCAGCTTTGTTTTAAGCCTGACTTTATACTTTGGCAATTGCTGTGTAAAACAGAAATTGTCTGAGGTCTGAAAAAGCTAGCTAAAGCCTACACTATCCAGCATCTATTGAAGTCTCAAACTCTAGCAAAGCTAGCTAAAGCCTACAGTATTCAGCATCCTTTGAAGTCTTAAACTCTAGCAAATCTAGCTAAAGCCTACAATATCCAGCATCCATTGAAGTCTTAAACTCTAGCAAAGCTAGCTAAAGTTCTTTCTTTATTTACTTACTCTTAAAAATGTGAGCTTGAATCCAAATCTTTAAACATTTCCCACTTACAAACCAACCTTTTGCTTCTCTTCATCCTCTTTATGCAACTCGTGACTAATCATATTGATATCATACGGCTCAAATGTCTCCAACTCAGGTCTATCAAAGTTAGGCATCTTTGCCAAAAGATCATTCAAAGAAACATTTGACTAAACGAAAGTTTTAAGAACTCTTTTAACTACACTCACCACTTGTTTAGAGAATGTCTCCAAAAGCTTTTCCGAGTTTACTTTCAAATATTCTTGTAGATCACTAGGCAACAATTTGATGTCAGGAACTTCACCTCTAGTTACTGCCTGAATTCCAGAATTTTTTTGATTTATTTTAAAAGAAACCTGTATCACTTGAGCCGGGATTTTTGAGATATCATATCCAGGTGGAAGTAGTTGCATTAATTGAAAATTTTCATTGCCATTATTTGCTAAAAATCCACTTCTATGCGCCCATTCACTGTTCGGCAGTGGTAGCTTTTGTTGATGAGAGTTTTGAGTTAAAAAGTTAGGTGAAAAAGCTGTGCCGATGCGTTGCATTGGTAGCTGGTTCTTTCTTCGTTCGGTTGTTTGTTGAGGTTGAGGTTGAGGTTGAGATTGGGTTGCCTAAAGTTTTTGATAAGAATAGGTCAACGATTTATTCTATCCAAAGCTACCTGTACATTTTGCATCATTTTCTGAAGGGCTTGTCTCATCACAGCATCAGTGGTTTCTTTCGAAACCCCAGGTATTGTCCCACCCTTGAGCACGTATTTAATCACACTTGGATCAAGCTGAAAAATTCATTTATTCAGACGCAAATAGAAGTACGCTAAGCCCTAAATGTAGCCCTAAATGTAGCCCTAAATGTAGCCCTAAAACCCATATCTAGTCAAACTTCAATACAACAAATTTGAGATTCTAAAACGTGCCCAAAATTTCTGCGTAGCTGCCCCAGACAAATGCAATCATTGGTCGTCCAGCTACGCAAAAATTTGAGGCACTTTTTAAGTTCGTTATATTGAAGTTTTTGGTCTAGAGTAATTCGTTATATCGAAGTTCGACTCCATATGGAAAAAGAACTAATAATCTAAGCGGGATTAAATCCCTAACCTCTTGATCTTAGCAGCCGACTGCTAAGAGCTGAACAAAGCTCTTAGCAGTCGGCTATGGCCTTGATCGTCTGACAAAATATTTGATCATACCTTGCTCAAATCCACATTCCCAAGTCCAGGAAGAGATACTTGCAAGCTAGGCATTGCTTGAATGAATCGATCAAGATCAGTTTCTGATAGTCGGCTGATTAGGGTTATCGGATCCATAGATGAAAGAGTATTCTGGCTTTGTAAAGTCCCGGATGAGCTAGATCTAAAAGTTCTGGTTTAATAAACTTTGTTTGGTTTAGTATTGAGCAAACCTTGGAATTGGAGTTTGAATTGGAGTTGGAATGGGATTGTTTGTCTTGAGATTTCCGAGTAGACTCTTCAAGAGAGCTTGTTGTAGAAAATTTGGAGTTGAAGATGACGGGATCACAGTCTCATTAGCTTTCTTGATCAAGAAATCTCTCAAGGGAATACCTCGGCTTTCCTCGGGACCTAAAATCTTTCATTTAAAAGTATCAAATGGAATAATTGATCAACAAGTTTCTATTTGTTGTAAACTTTTAAATTTAATCTGATTTAGATTTACCCCACCAGAGCAAGTGATTTCCGGTTGAAAAGCCAAGAATGTTCGAACCCGATTTATAACCAAATACTCCAAGAACCAGTCCAAATTTTTATCACATTGCAAATCATTACCTAAACTTATTTTTCCCTAAAACAAATCCTCTTTTTTACCATTTAAAATCAAATTTGCTATTCTTTTCCCAAAAGTTCCTTGCTCAAAGCTTTTCAATCGATTATCAGACAAGTCAAGCCAGAATAATTTTGATAAACCATCAAATGAAGCCTAAAATTTTAAATTAAAAGATTTAAACTTTATTTACCTTCGAAATTCTTTCAATTTGATTATTAGACAAATCGATAGAAGTGATTTCAAGTAAAGAAGAGAAAGCAGTGGCTTCGATTTCTCTCAAAGTGTTATTTCTGAGGTTAATCTGTTGCAAATGACGCATTCCATCAAGCATTCCCATTTCTAAAAAAGATTAGTCATTTAAAAAGGCTCTAGCTTGATCTAGCTGTGGTTTGCTTGCTCTAGTTTGATCTAGCTTGATCTAGCTTTGGCTTGCTTGCTCTAGCTGTGATCTAGCTTTGGCTTGCTTGCTCTAGCTGTGATCTAGCTTTGGCTTGCTTGCTCTAGCTGTGATCTAGCTTTGGCTTGCTTGCTCTAGCTGTGATCTAGCTGTGGCTTGCTTGCCCTAGCTTGATCTAGCTGTGGCTTGCTTGCCCTAGCTTGATCTAGCTGTGGCTTGCTTGCTCTAGTTTGATCTAGCTGTGATCTAGCTGTGGCTTGCTTGATCTAGCTGTGGCTTGCTTGATCTAGCTGTGGCTTGCTTGCTCTAGCTGTGATATAGCTGTGACTTGCTTGTCCTAGCTTGATCTAGCTTTGGCTTGCTTGCTCTAGTTTGAAAGCGAGATTGAACTCTTGATCTCCCGACTAAGATACAGGGATTTTAGCCATTGGCCATGGTGGCCAAAACTTTAATCACTTAAAAGCTCACTTTCTTACTCACCTATCGTTTTCAATGAGTTGTTCGCCAACAATAGAATCATGAGCTTATCCAGTGAATCAAAAGCATTTCTAGCCACCATTTCTATCCGATTCTCCTGTAGACTAAGCAATTGTAATGATGGGAGATTCGAGAAAGTCAATGTATCCACAGTTTCAATCAGATTCCCATCTAATCTCAAATATTTCAGTTTCAGCATGTCTTTCACGGATGGGACCTAAAATTACCGTTTTTCTAAAAGAATTACAACTTTGCTTAAACCTTTAGCAGTTTATTTTTCGAAACATCGAGTACTTCTAGATCTTTGAAAGCTTGAAGTCGACTGATATCAAAATTTGTTAGTAAATTTTGATTTAAATTGAGAATTTGAAGTTTCGGGACATTCATGAAAGCCATTCCATCGATGAAAGTTAATTGATTTTCAGCTAATTGAACTTCTCGAAGGAGTGGAAGGTTCATAAAGTGCATTTTCTCAATCTAAAAATGTTAATAAGTACTTTTTGATTCTATGTAAACGATTTTTGACTTAAACTTTTTAAAAAAAACTTAAATTTCTTAAATTTCAACCTTTGCTAGCTTATTTCCAGTCAAATACAATGTCGTTAGTCTGATCGAATTTCGGATGTTCGGCGCTGGGACGGCGATTAGACAATTCCCGGAGAGATCTAATGTCTCCAAAGTATTTTTCACCTCATTCAACACGTTTCTAAATTCATTTTTAATTGAATTAGCTTTCTCTTTACCCATCAAGATCACAAATCTGGTTCTCTGCTAAACGCAAATGCCTCAAATTAACCATTCCATTGAAAACTTGCTCGGGAATCGTTTTAATCTAAACAATTACAAATAAAAAAAACCCAAATTTCAAGGAATTTTTGTCACTTACAAGATTCTTATTCAAATTTAGTGTTTTTAGCCTTGGTAGTGTTCCAAAAAGTGGAATCGTGACGATTTTATTATCCGATAAATCAACATCTTCTATTGTTGCTTGAACATTTGAAAAGATCTATAAAAAGTTATTAATTTTAATATCTATATTATTTTATTCCAACCGTATTCAAAACAGTAGACAATCGGCATTGATTAGCTGTGAAACTTCTCAAGAATAAACTCGGAATTGATCGGTTTAGGGGAGAAGAGCAGTTTGTAAATTTGAGCCTTTCAATAGTTAGACCATTGATCATTCTCAAGATAGCATTTGGATCCACTGAGTCACAAGTGATTGTGATTTTTCCAGACTCTAACGGATAACAGGAACATCCTTGTGGTAGATTGGGGCATTGGGATGATGAGTCAGTTGATGATATGAGGATTAAGAATATCAAGATCTTTGGAAAGCCTATTATGGCGATCGAGTCGCGCCAGTGGCGCCTCTTGTGCATTTGAAGAGCACCGTTTTGTCTGAAAATTGGATTTCAAGAGGGAATCAAAGTGAAAACAGAATATTTCAAAATTCTCAATAATCTAGAAATGATTAGTTCTCAAAACTGTGAAATAACAGTGAAAAACATCCAACTACAAAAAACCATCTCATAAATTCGAAAGGGGGAAAGGTAAAGAGCTTTCTCTTGCGATTGAAGTCGAAGAAAAAGAGGATTTCGATTTCTCGTCAACTATTCGAAGAGATTGAACTAGGGCAAATCGGTTGTGGATGAAGAGAAATGAAAGGGAAGGGAGTGTCTTGAAGAGAGAGTGACTTTCAACCAAGAGAATCCCACTTTGATCGAGAGAAACCGATCAGAATGACCCGTAAAACGAAAAGAAAAGTGGAAAAGTGACTGAAGAGGTAAAGAAACTATTTCACTTTTACTTTTGCGCATATGACTTTAAATAAACTAGTTTTTTGGATGCGTAAATTGGGGAAAAAGTGAGTTGTGAGAAGAGTGAGTCAGTCAAAGTCAAAAATTTAAATCAGAAAATTAGAATCAGAGGTGTGGAAAGAGTTTAATAGTCGTAAATGAATGACAAAGTAATGATTATCAGCAAGATTGTAGAATAGTCAAAATGTAGGGATTTATTCTTTTTTCTAGTGTTAAAAGTGGTTCCAAGCGTTGCTAACAGCTCACTTTTCTAACAGAAAGTCTGACAATAAGCTAAAGATTGAGAAATTTGATTTAAATCTAAGCCCAGCTCCAATCGAAGCTTTTATCAGATCAAAATTTGTGAATTATAAACTAAAAGTCACAAATAGCTTTACATAGCTTTAAAAATCCCCATAGCTTTACAAAATCCAACTAAAAGTAAAAACTAGGTTTATCAGAGCTTACTAAAAAAAGAGCTTACTCAACCAAATACCAGAAGTAGGCTTAAAAAAGAGAAAGGAAGCTATTGGGGATTGTAGAAAAGAGAAGAAAGGGGATGATTTTGAGAACATGTATCTGTGGAAATGAAAGAGAAAAGAGATGCGATCAGATCCCTTTGAATGGGGTCGGCCTTTCCTCTTTGCCTTTTACATAGCCCGTTGAAATCCCCCGCTGCTTTTGCCCCCACTCACCCGATGGACAACACGCTACCAATAGCTCAATCGGTTTTGAGGGGGCACTGTCGTTTATATTTGATTTGATAAGGACGTCTAATGTTGTCTAATCTAGACAAATCTGGCTTATTGTATGAGCAAATGACATTCTTACAGTAGTCTTTATCTGCTAGTACTTTTTTTTGCATGAAAATAACTCTAGTTAGTCTAGTAAGCTACTGGTTTACAGGTTTTTTGTATAAATATTGAATCATTACATAAACAACTGAATTTCTTACAGAATTATTAGTCTGTTGAAACTTGCTTCTCTAGTTAGCTAGTTAGCTAGCTAAAAGTAACTCTAAGTTGAACAATTGGCAGACTTTGCTGTTCTTAAACTAGATCAAATCGATCAATCGATCAAATCGAATCGATCAATCGATCAAATCGAATCGATCAAAGAATTGAAAAACAGTTTCATCATACTTTATGAGATATTTTACTCAAGAAAACTTCAAAAGATTGAATCACAAATGAATGTAAACAAAAAAAAACGCTCAATCAGAAATTGTGAAGTAACGAGATCATAATATCTGGGGGGAAATGGTGGATTAAGGGAATAAAAGAAAGAAGGAGGATTCTGAAAGGAGGATGAGTGGTCAGTGAAAGAGGATTTCAGTTAGGAAAAGAAGAAAAAGAGGAAAATGGGTGGATGAGAGGAGAAAAGTCACAGAAAAGTTAGAAAAGCCACAATCCGGTCTCCTCACATATATCCAGTCCTCCTTTCATAGTGAAACTCTTTCCTCTGGCCGAAAAGGATTGTTTGGGGAGGAAGAACTGGACTTTTCCTTCAGTTTGGATACAAATTTCGATCCCTGGGAAAGAGTGGGTGTATAGTAAGAGTAAATCAAAGTATCATAATGTTATTTTTCAAATCCTAACTTCATTAGGTAGAACTTAAGACTAAGGTTAGGTTTTAACACTTGTACAAGCTCAGTGAGACATTCTGGTTTAACTAAACACTTTTAAAATCAGCTATCAAGTTACAGAACTGCTTACAGCTGTCAGCTCAGTTTTAGATGAATACAAGATAAAATTTTTGGACTTATCCGGGATATTGAAACGCTAGCTCTAGAACAGTTCAATAATCTTGTAAAATGACGAAATTCTTGTCAACTAATGTGGATCGTAACACTTTTGAAACAAACGTAAAACTGGGAAATCTTGACACGAGTTATAGACATTGAATCGAAATTAATATCTAAAGGTGTGTCAATTCCTTGTCTTATTCTTTTTCCCTCTCCATATGGCACTCCCCATTTCACCTTCTTTCCTACATTCTCCTCCAATCCAATCCCAAATTTGAGCGCTGAATTTGAGTGATAACGCCGCGGATAAAATCTTCTGAAGCTATAGCTTCTTTTAAAGCAACAGCTTCTTTTAAAGTTATAGTTTCTTTTAAAGTTATAGTTTCTTTTAAAGTTATAGTTTCTTTTAAAGTTATAGTTTCTTTTAAAGTTATAGTTTCTTTTAAAGTTATAGTTTCTTTTAAAGCAACAACTTCCTTTAAAGGATCGTAACACTTTTGAAACAAACGTAAAACTGGAAAATCTTGACACGAGTTATAGACATTGAATCGAAATTAATATCTAAAGGAGTGTCAATTCCTTGTCTTATTCTTTTTCCCTCTCCATATGGCACTCCCCATTTCACTCTCTTTCCTACATTCTCCTCCAATCCAATCCCAAATTTGAGCGCTGAATTTGAGTGATAACGCCGCGGATAAAATCCGAAAAATGGGGTCATTTCTCTAAAATTGGGAAAAGAGAAAGCAAACTTTAGAAAAAGAAAGAAATCTAAAGCTTTTGTGAAAAAAAAAATAGATTTTAAAGAGTCATGTTTGATTGAAAGACCGGGAATCACAACAGAGATTGGAGAAAAGTTTTGGTCACTTATTTGAGATGAATAAGATAAGTGAAAAGCTGAGCTGGTTGATTAGATTTAGAACCACCAATATCGGGGTCGATTTAGAAAGACATTTGCATTTGTGGCTGATCGATGACGATAGGCGTCACTGTTAAAGAGAGCCGATCCGCTGAGAGTTGTGCTGAAAGCCGAGTTGATTGACGGAGCGGCAGAGTTCGGATTTGTCTGAAAATCACTTGCAAGCATTTATTTGCTTAAATCTACCTTTTGACTGAAGCTCGGTTTAGCATAACGAGCAGTGATGATCACAATAAGTGAAATAGCAACAACACCAAAAACGATTCCTAAAAAAGATCAGCTTTTAGAAATCTCGTTGTGGTCATACCCATAATAATCACTAAAAGATTCGCTTGAGAAATCTGTGGTAGCTCGGGGTTCATCAAGTTTGGATCCAATGGAACATTGACAGTTTTAGGCGGGTTCTATAAGAAAATAGCTGTTAGAGAAAGATTTCTAAATCTCACCACCGGATATTTGCGCATCACTTCTCCAGCAATACTTTTTGGGGGCATATGGCTACGAACTGGGTCGGTTTGGCGAATGTCAAGTCCGCTGAGGTTGGCCGGGGTCCAACATCTAAATTTGGCTCTGAGAAACTGAACCTGAGAAATCTACAGCTTTTTTTGAAGCTATAGCTTCTTTTGAAGCTATGGCTTCTTCTGAAGCTACAGCTTTTTTTGAAGCTATAGCTTCTTTTGAAGCTACAGCTTCTTCTGAAGCTACAGCTTCTTTTAAAGTTATAGTTTCTTTTAAAGTTATAGTTTCTTTTAAAGTTATAGTTTCTTTTAAAGTTATAGTTTCTTTTAAAGTTATAGCTTCTTTTAAAGTTATAGTTTCTTTTAAAGTTATAGTTTCTTTTAAAGTGATAGTTTCTTTTAAAGCAACAGCTTCTTTTGAAACTACAGCTTCTTCTGAAGCTACAGCTTCTTTTGAAGCAACAGCATCTTCTTCTTTTGTTCTTTTAAACTTGTTCAACTTACTCAAAACAAGCTTTGAATAATTGGGAAGCTAGTTTACGCATTTCAATAAACTTTTTTGAATATCAACTTAAATGTGGACCTAAAGCATTGCCCATTACATTCACCAATTCCTTTTTGAACCATCATTGTCAAACTATTCCTTATCTCCCTATTTAAAACTTTTAAACTAGGAACATGTAGATGAAAGAGGTGAACAGAAAAAGAAACAAAAAGCTAAAGAAAGAGCAAAGCATATATGCAAAGCTCTCATCTCATCTCTTCCCTCTTGAGAAGTCCCCAGTCATTCCCCTACAGGCTTTCTCCCTTTCCTTGTCTTTTTCTTCTTCTTCTTCTTCTTCTAGTGTCCTTAGTCACCTCAAGAGTCGCTCCTCTTTACACCAAATATTTTTGTAGATCTTGTTTAGATTCTTTTGAGAAAAAGTTTGAAAGATGTTCTGATTGGTTGATTGATTGAAAACAATTGAAAAAGTCATTAAATATCAAAAACTATTCTAGCTCAAAACATAGCAGATAAGCTAGCTGACTCACCGAGCATACAATGAATCTGTTGGACTTGTTTGTACATCCCCATTCTCTCTCAACCATTTCCTCAACCATTGCAGATTATCATCACATCTCCATGGGTTATCTAGATACTTTTTTTTTGAATCAAATAAGAAAAATTACTATGTAAATAGAGAGTTCTTTTCTTCGCAGCATAACCAAGATGTAGACTGTCATATAGAATATGTGGCGGTAAAGTCTCTAAACGATTTCCACTTAAATCTAAATGGCCAAGTGTCGGGAGTTGACTGAAGGCAAAGTCCTCAACATAGTTGATCTAAAATTTGATATTTCCAAGAAAAAAGATAAAAAGTTACCGCATTTGAGCTTAAATCAATAGAGACAAGTTCAGTAAAGGCAGAAAAAGTCGCAGCTGGGATACTGAAGTAAAATTTTCATATTTCATAAAAGAAAATTGAATTACTTAATTAATTGATTCCTGTTCAATGTAAGGACTTGAATTTTTGGCATTTTGTGAAAAGCTTGTGGAGAAATAGTGATCAATGAGCAATCAGACATCTCCAATCGGATCAATAGTGGAAGGAATTGAAAAGCTAAATCGTTTAGAATCATTGTTTAGAAAATCAAAATTGATAAACTCACAATCGACTTTAATCTCTGTTAAATCTTTGTTATGGCTCAGTGATAACATTTTCAATTGTTTAAGGTAGAAAAATGTTGTTGGATCAATAATGGAGAAGAGATTATTTCCCAAGTAGAGATAGGCCAATTGGGGCACCGATTCGAAGGCTTCTCCGTAGATTTGACGAATCTGGTTTTCTGTTTTAGAAATTAGACTCTTAAATCTACCTGATTCACTTCTAAACTCAACGATTTCAATCCAGGTAATGGCAGAGATTTAGCCTCAACGATTTCAATGTGATTCACACTCAAGCTCAACTCTTCCAAAGTTTGAACATTCTCCAAAGATTCTGTCGGAATTTTTGTGAGACCATTTTTATCAAGAAATAGCTATAATTAATAATTTCTCTATTGATTTTAATTGCTAACAAACTTGTTTTAAAGATTCCAATCCTAGTAAAGCTTGTGGTTGAAGATAAGTCAAATTATTCGATGATAAATCAAGCTTCACAATCTTTGTCCGACTCAAATAGGAAAGAAAAGCATTGTCTTCAATTTTTGTGATAAAATTGTTGGCTAACGTAAGAATCTAGAAATCTTCTTTATTAGTAAAAGGTTTTTTTTGATCTCACTTTTAAATTCTCTAAACTCGGTAATCCTAATTGTGGGATGTGCTCGAGGTGATTGTCACGAATCTCGAGCTCTTCGATTGTTTCACTCAATGAACCAATAAAGGCATCTGGATGAATGGCGAGCATTCCATTATTACGAAAGAATAATCGTTTCACTTGAATTCCATCCAATGCAAAAGCTGGTAACTGGAAATTGAATGATAAGTGAGTGGAAATTTGATGATTGCTTTAAACTTTGAAATCCTTCAAGTCTTGCTGTGAGTTATCAGGGTTTTAGAGCTAAAACAAGCTGCTAAAAGCTCTTTGTTGATTGTAAGCTGTTGATTGTAGCTTTCGGATCTTTAAGTGCTGGGTTTTAGAGCTAAAACAAGCTGCTAAAAGCTCTTGGTTTGAGCTTGACTTGAGCTTGGCTTGAGCTTGACTTCTTGTTTCTTGTACTGATTCTAATAAGCATTCTTGTACAATGTTGATAGAATGAGTTGATTATAACCTCTTCAATTGGAGTATTCACAATCGATAAGCTGTTGATTGTAGCTTTCGGATCTTTAAGCGCTTTCAAGACATGATCTAGAGAAGTCGCTTTATCACAAGTCACCGAAATTGCTTCATATTTTGTAGAAGTGCAGAGACAGGGTGGCTAAATGAGTATAGTGTAGTATTAATCAAGAACTTTTTGAAATTTACATCTTGTTCAGATCCAAAAGCTTTACCTCAATCGAGAAAGGGCACTGTCTTGTGTAAACCGTGTCAAAGTAGAGCAATATCACAAAAAAGAGGCATCGAATGTCTAGGATCATTGATCTGAAAGCTGTTGTAGAAACAGAATTGCAAATAGAATTGCAGAAAACAAAGGAAAGGTGGATGTTATGTAGAAAAATTGGGAGTGTCTTGATTATCTGGAGAGGGTGGACACACTCTTTTTCCGGGAAGCCGCTTCCGGCCTTTCCGTTGGTAAAAAAAGCCGACCACTCCTCAAAGATGCCACCTCAAGCACTGGAAAAACATTGGCAATCACAAGAAAGCATTTTGGGAAAATAGAAATGTTATTGCCAGGGTTACCAAGTGATCTAACAATCGAATTATCAAATCAAGAATGATTAGTTACTTTTCAAAGCAATAAGTAGCTGAAAATAAGTCTGAAGCTGTAAATATTTCTAAAAACAATTGTTCTTTACGAACTTGGTCACAGACTTTGTTGGATTTGAGATTTTCGAGGCTTGGAGACCCTCTGAGAGTCCCTTTTGCCCTCAAGACTCTTTTCTATTGAACGGTCAACACATAAGCACTCAAAATGGGAAGAAGATCGACTCAACTCCAGACCCACTTTTCCAACTATAGACATTAATAACTGCTCTATTTTTAAAGACTATAGTCTTTCTAGAAATCTTTCATTGATAAATAAAGTTGGACAGAAATGTTAGGAGGATGTAGCTCTCAAAAAACAAGCCTAACAGCTCTTTAATAAGATTACAAAATTTGAAAAGTCTTAAAGTTTTAAAGACAAAAAGGTACAGTGCTTGATTTAACACAACAACTAGTCAAAAAAATTAGGTAAGACTTGAGAAATGAGAAAATAAGACGCCGATCATGCGTTCTCACCTCTTTTCCCCCTCAGGGGGACTCAAAGGGGCCATAAGCCGATTGGGCGTGGAGGTTAGAGACAGAAGACACTCTTGAGAACCGGAATAACACCCACACTCTACTAGGAAGTGAATTTTGAGGAGAAAAGAAGAGAAATGGGCAACCACACCATTTAGATCAACAGCAACTGGCAGATTGGGATAAATCAGACAAAAATAGAGGAAATGCTACGTTTCAAGGGCTTAAGATCAAACAGTGACAAAATATGGATTGCAAAACCAGATAATACTGCCAAATGGTAGTGAAGTCACTGTGGAATGCCATGGCTTAGTCTCATTGTTGATCAGAATACTTGTGGTCAAATAGAACACCGACGTTGCCCACTTTGCTCTTTTGAGGGGATGGAAATGGTGCTTGAAAGAAGAGTTTCACACACTCTCCTCAAAAAATCATCTGACGTGACCAATTTTCCCGTGACTATTTGCTAAAATCAAAATCAAACATGATATAAACAGAAGACTGGTTTTGAAATAAAAGTTTCAGACTTTTAAAACAGCTTGATCGAACTTAAATCGAGTGCAAATAATTGTTCAAAAATTGGCCAACAATTAACAAAACAATTTGCCAACAATACGAACAAAAATTGAGTTCAGCAATAAGTGAAGCTGCTTGTTTAACAATTTTCCCGCAAAAAAGCTAACAAAATTTTCTTGAAAGGTAGAAAAATGCGCAAAGTTATACTCTTTTGTGTGCTCACTCAATGGTGCTCGTAAAAGGCGGTCTTTTTGCTCGTGAGTGACCCAACTCTTTCTCTTGAACTCGTGAAATTCGATCCCGTACTCATATTTGGTCAGTCAAAGGGATGCCATCCATCCATTCTCTATTCACAAACACTAAATTCCTACACTATTTCCGTATCAAAGTGGCTGGGTTCGAGTTTGACTTTGAAGTCATTCGACCAGTAATCTAAAATCTTAAGAAAACTAGAAACAGTTTCGTTTCAAGGGTACAATATAAAGTTCATTCATTCAAGTCATTTCACCTAAGACAAATCTGAATTTCAGAATGCGGTCGTTCTGTCACTCCAACTTGTTCCCCATTCCCTGGAAAGCTGAACGGTGACGATAAAGGAACAATCCCGAAATCAGTCTCTTCTCAAGATGTCCTTGCCACTAGAGCTGTCTATGTTGAAGAATTTAAATTCAAAGAATTCCCCAATGATGCTGGAGTTGATATTGGTGATTGGTAATTTGTCAAAAGTATACAAAACCCCTTAGAATTGGCCTCGAATCTCGATGAAACGATGTCGATCAAGACTGATCTTTCTGATGATGATCAAAGCTTTGTGGCTGTGGACTTACCGCCGGAAGAGGAGCTGTTCCCATCAGCTGGTGGGATATTTCAGAAATTTGAATTTGAATCTAATATTTATCCTTTTTCAGATGAAGCTATAGAGGCTTGTGGGGTTGACGACAAAATTGCCAACGATCGGGAGTACAAGAGTCTTATGGCTAAACAGGTGAATAAAAAAAACTGGCAAATGACTCTAGGATAATAATTCTCAAAGCTTCTAGCATTCTAATCATTTGAATACTAAAATACAATGAAATTCAAGATATTTCTTTTCTAGGTCAATGTCCTCACCGCCACTTTATCTGATGTTCATGTTCTTGTAAACATTTTTGATCAAAACATGAAGATTCTTGGAAAGGCGGAGAAGTCATTAACGTGAACATAATGTTTTTAAAACAAAATCATTTTCAGATTCGATCTTCAACAAGAGCTTGGAATTTTACGAGGAAATGTCTATGCCTCTAAAGCTACAAGATCTAATGTAAGTTTTAAATAAAGTAAGAAAATCTCGAGTTCTAGGAGCCACCAATCTTCGCTGAATCACCACACGCAGTTTTTGATCTCTCAGCTCCATCTGAATGTCAATATTCGATTTTGAAGGTAAAGAACTAAACTAGACGAAAAAATGAAACTTTTAAGCTAAATGTAAATGGAATCGATTTGATGTTAGACGATGAGATCGTTGCTCATCTCTCTGCTTTCATTGTCGACGATCAGCCGACTCCAAACAAAGTGAGACTTCAGGTTGAGGTCAAGGATTCGAGGATTGAGATCAGGGTAAGGAGCTGGTCAGCTGAATATTCCTAAACACTGAACAATTCTAGTCCCAATACTTGATTGGACTAATTCAAGAGGTAACCCTTGTTGTCAGACTTCTCTCCCAAGCTTGGGCATTATTTGAAAGTCTTGGGCTTTTGTTTTCCAAATAATAAGGATAAAAACTACTTTTGAATGCAAGATTTGATCAGATTTACTTTTAAAGTTTTGTGGTTTGAGTTTCACGGAGTTGTGGTTTAATTTGTTTCGTTTTAAGTTGTGGATTTCTTTGAGAATTGCTAAACTATAAGATTTTCTATCTTTGAAGAAAGAGGTTTTTTGTTTAAACTCCAGCATTGTCTGAAGAGTTCTGGTATTTTGATAGTTGAGTCAGTTTTGAACATTTGTGTTCAACTCAAAGATTTCAACTGTTCAAATATCTAAAGCATCTCCAAGTCAAACCGAATTCTTCGATAAAAAGAATTTGTGCCGGGCCACAAGAATTCAGGTTGCCAATAATTCTCTTCTAAATTCGAAGCCTGATAAAATAGGTATTGTGTGGATCAATGGTCGAACCGATAGCACATTCTTGATCTGGATTTCAGGATCTGGATTAAAAGTTTCAAAATTCTTTCAAATACCTTTGATTTCCTAAAACCTACCGTAAATACTGTAACAGTACCCCACCTCCCTCGTACAGTCGCGTAGTCGCAAAAGCTTTTTAGTATTTCATTTTTCGCAATGCACCCTTACTTTCAAAAATGTGTCTTTGGTATCAAAAAATAGCCCTGAATTTCAGCTATTTTTTCATACCTAAGCGCGCATTGTAGCATAAACCAGTGTCGAGAAAAACTCGTTCAAAGCTAGACTACCCAACACTCCGCACCGTCATTATGGGGGTAGGGTACTATTACAATATTTACGGTAGGTGTTCTGTGGATCAATGGCCGAACCGATAGCACATTCCTGATCTGGGTTAAAAGTTTCAAAATTCTTTCAAATATCTTTGATTTCCTAAAACCCAAGTCTTTCCTAAGTCCTCATTCATTTCATTTCCAGGATCCAAAGAAGAAGAAACCACTCCGATTGAAGATCCGCGAGTGTTTGATCGAACAAGATGAAGACTAAAAACATCTGGCATTCACAGATTAAATTGAATGCTTTTTTTTCTTCCTCATTTTCCCATTTTAGTATTTTTTTTTTGATTCGAAACCGGTATCCTTTATTTTCGACAATTTCTCAGCTCAACTCTTCATGTCATACAACAGGGGCTTAATTAGTTTTTTAGCCTAAAATTTTCTTTTTTCCGATTCCTTGCCATAATTTGAAAGGCTTCTCCCTTTCAAGCCCGAGAAATTCTAAAGCTCAACGTTATTTTTTCTGATTGGGATTTTTAACTTGACCTGTGTTCCGAAATATTGTGATGATTAGCCATTTTCGAATTAAGAGTTGTTTTTTTTCTTCACTTAACGTAAAATTTATCTTTTTTTTGTTGGAATCAGTAGATTTTGAGCAGATTACCTGATAAATTTTACTTTGCTTCTTTACTGGCTTGTCTAAAAGGCGTCTTTAGCCTGTTAGTTTCTTTTCTTTTTGTTAAGAACTTTAGTAATTTAAATTGTTTTAGAGATTAATGCTGTCTGGGACTGAAAAGTTGAAAGCTGAGACGTCAAACGGAGAAGCGGAAGAAGAGGGTGAATCGTGGGAAGATTTGGATGATGAAACGCTTGATCAACAGGTGAATGTTGTTGAGATTTTAAAGATTGTAGAGTAGTGAGTTAAAGTCTGACCAATTCCTGTACTTTTTGACTTGAGTTTTGTAGTTTTTGAACCAAAATCTGAACGATTTGAACACGGAAATTGGCAAGATTTGTTCATTATACTCCGTTAATATGTCTTTACTTAGAAATTTGAGAGTTTAGTCCAGTATTTAGACTTTTTTCTGTCTCTGAAGCTTGTTCATACGTCTAATATAGTTAGCTAAAAGCTATTTCTAAAAAAAACCTATGTACCCATAATTCTAAACGCTATAAAGCTCAATATTTAGTTGGCTCAACTGAAATTAGAAGCCGCTCAAAAAGTGCAAGGACAAAAGAAGCCATCGTCGTTTGAACAACGAGCCAGTTCTTCAAATTTTGATAAGAATTGTAAGTTTGATATTTTATATGTAGAAATAAGAAATTCTAAATACAAATAAGCGCTAAAAGTATCAAAAGAGTATTTTGAAAGTAGTTATTTTCAGTTCTACCTTATGTATTAGAAGTCTACGATTTGCCAAAAAAAGAAACAACTCAAACGATCAAAGACGAGCTCCAACAGATGGGCTTTCCAGGAGTTGAAGTGAAGGTAAACAAAAATTACAATACACTGAATTATAATAGGATTTAGATGGTACCGGGAACAAGTTCAGCCTTGGTGGCCTTTGAGAACGAGAAGAGAGCGAGAGATGTACAAGTTTTGCATAAACATTCTTGGATAAAGCTTCGATCGTTGTATTTGGCCTCAAAGGAAAGCCAGGTGAGCTTTTTTGGGATCTTTGAGATCTTATAAGTAAGTAAATAGATAAATGAACAGAGTTGTTCTGGAAAAGCTTTTTAGTCTTGTCGTTTAGCAAAAACTGTTTGATTTGGATATAAACCATTCTAATTCTTATAAATTTCCAAGTAATTATTAGCTCTAACAATAACACGACTGTTTAAAACTTATAAGCCTTCAGGATCTGGCAAAGAAAAGCGAAACGGAGCTTCGACCGAGAGCCACCGTCAGACCAAAGACAACGAGCGCTATTGCGAGGAGACTTGTTGAGGGATCTTTAGGACTTAAATCAACTGTCACTTCGGAAAAACGAGCAACAGAACGGGCTACCATTCAAAATCATAAAGGTTTCACAAAAACAATTTTCTAATTTGGAAAAGTTTTAGATGCGAAGAAAGCGGCTGCAGATTTGTGGAAATAATAAGAAAGCTTGATGGCTCAAATTGATCAAACTCAGTGATTGTATAAACTTTGATGATTGATTGATTCCTCAACTACACAATGTTTCAACACACTTCATAAAAACATTTGGAGTATGTTTTTGAACAATTTGCAAGGTATTTTTGATTTAATGCACATTTGAGAATTCTAATGAATCCTCTATATTTGGCCTCAAAATCAGATGCAGTTTTTGAAATCGAAAATGTTAAAGATTGGAGCTTCGATGAGTTACGCTTCAATATCTAAAGAGTTTTAAACAAACGAAAAATGCAATTTGTCTTGTTTGAAGATAATTTATTTTCGAAAAGTACGTTTAGATTAGCACACATGAACATAGTTGTCCTTGGAACAAAACGTATTTTTATAGCTTTTCGAGTAGATACAAGCACCACAAACAGACATGTCACAGCAAAGGAACTCTGAACGGAAAATTAGTGGTTTGGCTGAAAACTTTGCAATAAATTGATCTTTGAACACTTTTTAAAAACTATTTGAAAGAAAGCTTGTGTTGTAAAGTAAATTTGCATACAAACTTACCATTTTTTTCTATTATTAAGCAGGAAATTCGAAGTGATGGTAGAAGCCATCAAAAGGGTAATAATTAAAATAACAAAAGCAACCATTTAGAAAAATTCAAACAAAAGTACAATAAACTGTGCAATAAATTAAAGTACAATAAATTAAACAAAAGTACAATAAACTGTGCAAATAAGTCCAGTCAAAATGTTCGAAATTTCAACATATACAAAGCAAAACCTGTGCTTTGAATACTTCATTTCAATTCTGCGTTCAATGCGTGGTGAGTGCTTGAAATTGGTAGCACAAAATGTCCGGTGGCTTGTTTAGAGCATTTTTTCGGGAGAAGCCTTGAAATCAAGTCGCCGACAAATTTCCGAAACGGTTGCGTTAAGAAAAGCAATGATAGAGATCCCATTGCTCCGTGAGAACTCAAGAGACCAAAGAAAAAGTTGTTCAGCTCTGAAAACAATCTTTTATCTAGCCATCATATCTAACTTTTAAAAACTATCGTATCTTTGTTAAATTCCAATAATTCTAGTTGTGGTCGGGCGAGAACTTTTTATTCAAACTTACTTTGTAAAATGAAATTTGGTTGTATCACTAACACCACAGCGAAATAGACCCATGGAAAACCGACACAAGCAATCGGAATCAAATACTAAATGGGTAACATGATCTGAAGATTTAAAACAAAGTTATCTGCAGTGAAAGTGTGATAACTTTGCAGTAAAACATCGAAACACCTGTAAGCCTAAAGCCATAAAAAATTTCTTCTGCATTTTTCTCGTCTTTTCACTCATATGTAAACAGCCATGTTGTAAAGTGTAATGACACCAAGAAATGCAGAGAGCCGTCTGAAAATTGATTGAAACCAGGCAAAATTTCTTTTTTTCATCTGCATTTTAGGCATCAGCATTCATTCCTTTGAAATATTTGAATGATATTGAATTATTTGAAATTGGAGTTGATTTACTTCCAGAGTTTCGACTCTGCAAGCATTAGACCCAATACACATCGGCGCGAAATAAGGCAAAAATGGGTTTTCTATCGGATTTTTCCGGGAGTACCTTTTTTAGATGCGGAAAATTGTGCTGATTCCGAATCTGAAGGAATTTTTCAAATCCCCTTGACAGAAATTTTTTAAATTGAGTTTTAGCGGTTTTTTAGGTCATTTTGTATGGGAAATTTTGTGGTACCCCGCAGTTTGGGGCTCGTAACTCGACAATCAGGGTCTAGAACAAAAAACGAGGGGATAATTTTTATTCTAGAGACTCTCACGAACATTTTGATACAAAAATCATCAAATTTGTTCAACTCTACAAAAAGTTATAACATTTTTAAAAAAGAAATGAAAATTTTTTTTAAAAATTCTGTATTGCACAATTTTTTTTGTTCAAAAGAACAATGTAGCTATGTATCGTATTCACTCAAAGCAATTAAGGAATATGCAAAATAATAGCTCAAGTGTGCGGGAGAGTTGAACCAACAACCCCATACTTTTGCGCGGGATTCACGTCGCGCGCCTTAGACCACTCGGCCACGGCTTCTCCTGATGTTTTTAGTGTATTTTGCAAAATTTCTTCAAAAATGTTATAACTTTTTGTAGAGTTGAACAAATTTGATGATTTTTGTATCAAAATGTTCGTGAGAGTCTCTAGAATAAAAATTATCCCCTCGTTTTTTGTTCTAGACCCTGATTGTCGAGTTACGAGCCCCAAACTGCGGGGTACCACAAAATTTCCCATACAAAATGACCTAAAAAACCGCTAAAACTCAATTTAAAAAATTTCTGTCAAGGGGATTTGAAAAATTCCTTCAGATTCGGAATCAGCACAATTTTCCGCATCTAAAAAAGGTACTCCCGGAAAAATCCGATAGAAAACCCATTTTCGCGCCGATGTGCAATACCCTTTTAGGGGAAAAGTCTGCTCTGACAATTTTCACTACTTGCTCGTACATCATTCTCTACGAATTTCAAGCTGACTTTTATCTTTCTTAACATTAACAGCACTCATTTCTTATAAAGTACAAAAGCTTATTACTGATGTCCGTGAACAAGAGAACAAACCGTGCTCATCGATAAGCTAGTGAAAACAAAGATGCCCACACAAAGGCTTTGGATAGCCGTGAAATTGATCATTGTTGGGTAGAGGGGTTCTTGGCGAACCACATAGATATCGGTGATGTTCGCGAGATAAGAAAAAGTTGGGTGTAACTAGAACATTCGATTTTAAACGCTAAATGTAGTCAAAAATGTTTTGACTTTTTTTGAGATGCACAGAAAAACCGACTTTGAAAGCTGACCTTTTGAGTGCTTTGCAACTGAGATTTTCTTCAGCAAACAACTCAAAACCTACCGTAAATACTGTAATTGGACCCCCCTCTAATAGTACCCCACCCTAGAGGGGGAGGGAAAAAATAATACCCCACCCCTCTAATAGTACCCCACCCCCACCTAACACGTAATTACAAACAACTCTTTTAAAGCGGAAATCTTTTTTGCGCAGCTCGCCATAACTTTCTTCTAAGTGGGCCAATCTTCATGATTGTAGATGTCAACAAGTGCAACAAAGTAACACCAAAATCATAAAGATTGGCCCACTTAGAAGCCACTTGAACTCGGAGGGGATTGATATCGGTTTGGCTGAATGGATACGGGATCGTCGAGCCGAGAAGAAACGAGTGACACGCCGGATTATCTGGAATGAAGCGGCTAATCGATTCAAAAAAGCTGAAATTTCTTTCAAAAGAACCCATGGCTGGATGGAGTCGTTCTTGAGGCGTCACCAACTTTCTTTGAGGGCACCAACAACAACTTGTCAAAAGCTGCCGAGCAAATTTGAGAAGGCCATCGTCGAGCACATTCTGAGGCTGAACAAGACAATCAAAGAAGGCGATTACAAGCACATTGTTGCTTGCGATGAGACGGCGGTTTGGCTGGATGCTTCGACGAGCAAGTGCATCGAAGCGGTTGGAGCCAAAGAAGTTGGTGTTAGAGATCAGAGACGGAAATCGAGGACCTCTTGGGGCCGCTCGCATCGACGGGATTTCAAGGACATCCAGGAATTGATGATCAAGAAAATGATGAATTCATTGATTCGGATGTTTCTATTGATTTCGCTTGTTAGTTGTTTTTGTTTCGTTTTGCTGTTAAATTTTCAAATGGTTAAAACCAATAAAAACTAAAGAAAAAGTTTGCTTTTGAAAAAATTATTTGAATGTATCCTGATTTGGTAACTTGAACAGTGGTGTAAAATAGTGACCCACCCTCTAATAGTACCCCACCCTAGAGGGGGCGGGAAAAAATAGTACCCCATGGGGTTCAATTACAGTATTTACGGCAGCCGAAAAGCTAGCCATCTCCGAGTTCGGATTTCGGTAAAACAGAAAAATTTCCTCGTTTAAGCTTGACCAAGACTGATCAGACTGATTTTCGATTCTCCTACCCAACCCACTTCCATCAGTGCCCGAAAATTGTTTGTGTTAATGCCTTGTTCGATTTGCAACAGTTCGAACGAACCGCAGATCCAAAGTGGTGAGATAATAAAATGTGGAGCCATGAAGAGAAATTTGCCAAGCAAGTTGCATCTGAAAATCGCAGGTTTGCTTTTTTGTACCATCAACTTTGTCAAATATCATTCAAATATTCTAAAGGAATGAATGCGGATGCCTAAAAGGCAGATGAGAAAAAGAAGCGTTGCCTTGTTTTTCTGTAAATCAAAATTTTTTAAATTTTTAGTTGATGTTTTAGTACAGCTAAACCCAAATGGAACTACAGCTTCATAACCATTCATTTTCTATTTTTTCACCTTTTAGAAAATCAAAACTTTTAAGGTTTAAGAAATCTTTATGCACACCTAAACCAATGGTTTTCATCCAGCAGACTTTGCAATTTCAGAAAGAAAACATTATTGATTGTGGCAATTGTGTAAACGACAAGGAAACCACCGCAAGCCTAAATGGAAACTTAAAATGGAGATAACAATTGACTTTAGTAAACCAATGCATGTTTTGCTCCAAATCCAAAAACCGTATCCCAGATGCCAAAGATTCGGCCAGCAAAAGCGGGGAAGTACATCTCGGGTTTCACAGCCAAAACGATAGCATCAAGACTTAGGGTAAAAATCTAAATGGTTAGGCATGGGGTGGGTTAAGCTTAATAAATATAATCTATTCAATTACACTTTTCATCCTATCTTGTAATTCTATCAAAAAAGACGTTTAACATTTCACGCTAAAATATCTTAACTTCTAAAAACTATTGTAACCTTGTCTCTAGTTTTGGTGCCTCATGTTTGATCTGTCTCTGTGAGTATTCTGATTAGTTTTTGTTGGCCTAGTTAGCTAGATATTTAGCTTTCAAGCTAGATTCGGCTAGAATTTAATATCAATCTTTGGCTGATCAATCACTGACTTGACAACAAATCAACGGAAACTTGTAGAATTTCATTTCGGGCGGTGTTTTCTTTATAATCGTGTACAGAGTGAACCAATTTATCGGAATCGAAATCACGGAAAGACACAGCTCAAACCATAAATAGATATAAGGTTCTTCAAACATCGATAAAATTAAGAAGTAGAGTCAAAAATGAAATTCAGTATGATTTTACTGATTCGTATCCTTTTAAATTTCACCTGCTCATTCCAAATCTCATTCGAAAGTTTTGCAAAATATTTTTGTGTTCTTTCGTCATATCGTTTGGGCTTATAGTTCACATTTTCTAGCTTCGGATGGTTTCAGTTGACTGCTACATTTCTGATCAACTTGCACTCAATGGTACAGTGTAGAGTGTGTTCCTGGCGGGTAAGTAATTACTCGAGTAAAATAATTTACTTTAAAAGGCAAAAATTTTTCATCATTTCTTTATTTTACACTTGTTGCAAAATGATAGGACCACTACGTTTCTTTTTCATTTTCTACCTGTAATAACCATGTTTTTTGCTTACTTTTTGCTAATTTTTATTTTTTAGGAAGATGGGGCGTGGAAAATCGCTTTCGCGGATCGAAAAGATAAAAATTTTGATTTTGAAAGGAAGAAAGTTGTCGAATCGGAAGATCGCAAAAAAAAAATGAAGCACTCGCACCAAGTTGTCTCAAATTTCTTGAAGGATCATTTCCAATATGGCAAGCAAAAGTCTCCGGGACGTCATCGAAAGCTCACGGTCCGCGCTGAACGGCATTTGAGAAGTCTGTTGTCGAATTCAGTGATGTCGCTATAGGACGTCAAGGTACAAATTAAAGCTCCCGTCCACAAAAGCACTCTTTCTCGAGCCATCAAGTGTTACATCCGTTACATCAAAAGAGCAGTCATGAAGAAAGCACCAAAACTAAAGCCGGCACACAAAGAAAAAAAACTAACGTTGGATTCGGAAAGAGGACCCAAAATCACATGCTCTTGCAAATTTTGAGCTCATTTGATCCAGCCATTCACGAGAAACAGCCGCGGCTCAGCATTGAGTCACGTAGTCACTGTAGTAAAATGTTTCGCTTTTACACTGTGAGAAATCCGTGATCTGTGATCAACTATTTTACGTACGTGAGTACTCCAATCTAAATGGAAAATTTAGTCTTTTAATGGATGAAGACTTTCAAAATATTTACGAAGTTCATCAAAGAGATCGTGGACAATTTGAGACTGTTTTAATGATGAGTATTGCAATAGCCGACATCAGAATAATTCTCAGAAGGCTTTCGAGTTTAGTTGGACGAGAATCACCGAGACTTTTTGATAGACTCTAAGTATTACAAGAAGACGACATTTGGTTTTGATAAAGATATGTGAATAAATTGTTAACATATCACTTTAAAAGCAGCAAGGTAAAATACTGACATTTATCTACTATATATAAAGCAGAAGAGACGTCTGCCTGCCTGTCTGCCTGCCTGTCTGCCTGCCTGTCTGCCTGCCTGTCTGCCTGCCTGTCTGCCTGCCTGTCTGCCTGCCTGTCTGCCTGCCTGTCCCTGCCGTGCCGCCTGTCGCCTGCCTGTCGCGCCTGTCTGCCGCCTCGCCTCCTGTCTGCCTGCCTGTCGCCCCTGTCTGCCTGCCTGTCGCCCTGCCGTCTGCCGCCTGTCGCCTGCCTGTCTGCCCCTCTGCCCCTGCCCCCTGTCTGCCTGCCTGTCGCCGCCTGTCGCCGCCTTCTGCCTGCCCCTGCCTGTCTGCCCTGTCTCCTGCTGCCTGCCTGCCTGCCTGTCTGCCTGCCTGTCTGCCTGCCTGTCTGCCTGCCTGTCTGCCTGCCTGTCTGCCTGCCTGTCTGCCCGCCTGCGCCGCCTGCCCTGCCGCCCCGCCGCCTGCGCCGCCGTCGCCTGCCTGTCTGCCTGCCTTCCCCCCTTCTGCCTGCCTGTCTGCCGCCCTGCCTGCGCCTGCTGTGCCTGCCTGTCTGCCTGTCTGCCTGCCGTCTGCCTGCCTGTCCCTGCCTGTCGCCTGCCTGTCTGCCTGCCTGTCTGCCTGTCTGTCTGCCTGCCTGTCGCCTGCCTGCCTGTCGCCTGTTGTCGCTGTCTGTCTGTCGGTCTGTCGTCTGTCTGTCTGTCTGTCTGTCTGTCTGTCTGTCTGTCTGTCTGTCTGTCTGTCTGTCTGTCTGTCTGTCTGTCTGTCTGTCTGTCTGTCTGTCTGTCTGTCTGTCTGTCTGTCTGTCTGTGGCAGCCATTTGCAAAAAGGGGCGGAGCTTAGCTTGCTGGTTGATAATCCGTGCGATGGCAAACAAGTGGCTGGGGCAAATCGATAGCTCACATCTAGTTGTAGTTCTAAATCTTGAAGCTCTTTAAAAATAGATAATGAATGAGTAAGCGGATTAGATTTAATCAAGTCTTTAACTAATTCAAATGCAGATGTGTACTTCTTGCTGGCATTAGAACTATAGTCCAAATCAAGCTTATCTTATTGTAAATCTGTGTCATACTTTTGCAAACGAAAAGGCTACCTTTCTACCAACCCAAACCCCTTTCTTACAGAAGAAATTGATAAATAGAGATTTCTCAGTTCAAAAACGATTTTTCAATCTTTGAAATCAGAACGTGGACACTTTTCTGATCATGTAATTGGTTTTTCTTGTTGATTCAATCTTTTTGATCTGACAAAAACCTAGGCCACTAGGGAAAATTAGCATTTTTGCGTTGATTGAAACTTTTTTTGATGAAAAAGTGTGTTAAGATCTTTTTTTGATAACAGATTGCAAAATAAAAGTTACGATAAAGATCAAAAAATCAACCTTTACATCAACCAAATCAATCTTTTAGTTTTCCATTTGTAAACCTGAAATTGTAGCTCATTTCGTCAAAAAGTCCTGGAAGTTTATTTTAAAAATGATTTTTCTACGCTATTTTTGGCTACAAATGATTAGTGAACTGTACCAGATTTCAGTTTTTTATAAAAATTTGGTATCCGAAAGTTTTTTAAACAAATTCCTATTATTGGGTACAATCAAAAAAGCTTTGGTCAACAGGAATTTGATTTTGAAAATGATTTTTCTATCAGTTTTTGGCTATAAATGTTCAGTGAACAGATCTTGAATGTTTCCTTTTGTAAATGTAAACTGTTTATATCATTATTGACTAGTAAAGTTGTTCAGATATGCTTAGAATTGTAGACAATTTTTGGACACGTAATACGGAAGCTTTCAAAGTGTCACTACTTGGCTCAATTTTGTCAGTGATTGGCTATGGATCTTATCGAATGCATGGATATTTATTGGCAGAACGAAGCGAAAACGGATTGCTATATCCATTTGATCCATTTGAAGTCGATGGGGAAGTACTTCTGCAAACGATGGTTTTCACTGATGCGATGATGCTTTTGGTAAAAAGTTCTTGAATAGCTTGAACAAAACCTTTTTCAGGTTTACACAATGGGTATCTTCGTCAACTTGTACGCTCTTTACTTTACAGCCAAGAATATGGGTTTAATCAAGTCTATCAGGTTATTGAAAGATCTCGTAAATACTGTAATATAGTCGCGTAGTCGCAAAAGTTTTTTAATATTCATTCATTCATTCATTCAAAATCATTTCATGTAGGTATCTTTTTCAAAGCGTCCGTGCTTTCAAAAAATACATCTTTAGTATCAAAAAATAGCCCTGAATTTCAGCTATTTTTTGATACCTAAGCGCTAATTGTAGCTTAAACCAGTCTCGAGAAAAACTCGTTCAAAGCTAGACTACCGCATTTATTCTAATCAACGCCGCCCCCGCGCCCCCTGGACCAACTTTAGATGCCTCGTTCTGAGCCCGATTTTATGATATTTTTATGTTTAATATACCAAAAGATAGAAGACATTAAGGGCTATCTTTTGGTAGATTAAACATTAAAAAAAACACAAAATGGGACTAAGAACAAGGCGTTTAAAGTTGGTCGAGGGGGGTGACGTTTATTAGAATAAATACGGTATGTAACACCGCGCATCGTCATTATTATTTACTATTACAGTATTCACGTTATGTTCTTAACTAATGTATTCAAAATTTAAGATGAAAATCTTGTTTAGAGTGGTGGCAACTGGGGAAAATCTTAATCGTCTCCTTTTAAACATTATTCAATTCTTGGGGAGTTTATGCGGAGTTCTCGCGA